CCCCTATTGCCGGAAACCCCCGAATATGTGGTCTGGATCATTTTCGCAATTGGTGAAGTCTGCTGCTCTTACCTCTTGCTAGTTTTGCACATTCGTCCCCATGCGGTTTCCTAAACATGAGAGTTAAATCACGATATGCATCTTGTACCCTGGCATTGGGTCGACACGTCCTACAGATGAGCGATGTGGACCGAAGCCCCGACTTCACAACAAAGATTCCCCCGAAACTCAAACCCCAACCTCGACCTTCTGAGCCCGAAAACCCCGGAACCCAGAGACTCCAATATCCCTTAATTAAGGAATATACTTAAAATTATAATAGGATCCTTAACATGATTTAAGGTATATTCCTTAATTAAGGGATATTGGAGTCTCTGGGAACCACCACTCCGCCCCCCCGCCATGCGGCTGGCGCGGGCCCGCGGGGGTCGGCAGCAGGAGGCAGGGGTCAGGGCCTGGGTTCGGTAGCCAACGCCTTCAACGTGCAACTTTTTTAACCTTAAGTAGGCAAACAGGACTTTCCACACTCCGAGCACTTCAAAACCCCATATAGCTTGAGACTAAACTCCACACCCCGACACCGCGATATTACGACCCCGAAACCTTCGTCGAAGCCCGGGTTGAGGCCATCAGGAAATACAAGGGCTTAGGGTTGAAGGGTTGAAGAGCCCAGCTGCAAAAGGGTCGAAAGGATGTCACGGTTTTCGAACTGCAACTTCGAGGTGCAGAATTTCTGGGCTCAGGGTTTGATCGAAGATTTTGAATTTGAGGGTTTGGGTTAAGGATGAAAGGGCTTAGTGGTAGGGTTTAGGGCTAGGGATTAGGGGGGAGTGGCACAGGTTCATGATGTGTATTTGGCCTGGGATCGAGGATGATCGAGGCACATTTTCGGACAGGCTGAGGATGCGTTTTGGTGCAGGTGTTTTGGACAGTTCCGGGTCTGGAACCTCGAACGTGGAACTGGGGGCAAATGTCTCTGCAAACACCGCTATATCCACAGAAGGTTTGAGCATCCTCTCAACCGATCCTTATGAGACCCCAGCCAGCCTTAGGTGGCGCCCATGCAGGCACCATTCACCCTTTGCCTCACTCGGTAGCCTGTAGGAGTCCGGTCTCATGTTCGCACGCTAGGTGCGGGTGCTGGAAGGCGCTTTCATTCAATGGAGGCAGGCCTGGAGTCACTGATCCTGGGCAGGATGGATGATCTGTTATGCAGTTGAGGGAAGCAGGTTTCGTTGAAGGGTTAGGTTTAGGAGTCAGGACATGAGTCAGAGTTGAAGGTTTTCACGGTATAGGATGCGCAGCCGAGGGTTCAGTTGGCAACCGCTGCCCGAGGGCTTGTGCACTCACGGAAGTCAGTAGTGGCTGCCCGGAGCGCAGACTGTACAACGTCCCGCGCGGTATGCCGGAATGTTTTCGGACTGGAGAAGAACACCCAAGATCTAGACCTTGTAAATCTCCACCCTTAATTTCCAAAACCCCTCAGCCCCAAACTCTCATAAATCCCATGATCTGTACAACCCGGACCCTTTCAGTTCTTGATAGTGGGCCGTCAAGCCCCAAAGACAAGTGGGAGTCTCCGAAACTTAGGGGTATCTTGTTTTTGGCGTCCTTACCATAACGGTCCTACTATACCGGGTACTATATTAGGGTCCCCTATTTTCGGAAAACCCCCAAGTAAGGTAGCATGAAAGGCAGGTAACCCTGAAGTATCAGGCTCGAACCCTATAGACCTCAAGTCCTAAATCCCATACAACTCTCGACACTGCAACCCGAATGCCGGTCCTTGATGGGACATGATGGGACTTGTGCTTGGGTTATGTTATGTTGTAGTAGGTTTATATAAGGACGATGAGGAGAGATTACTTCAACCTACTAAGACATCTAGCTTGCACCGCTCTAAACCCTAAACCTGTATGCTACTCTATCCAGTTTCACGCCGACCCCGCACCGAGAACCTCGCCTGGCAAGTCCGAGTTGTGAGAGCGTAAACCCTAAACCCCTGCAATGCGGGCTTCGCCCTTGCCAAGTACGAGGGAAAAAAACCCTAAACCCCGCACGTGGGAGGGATTTACCACCTGCACGGCTGGGTCGACGCACTCATGCTTGCCTCTCGGGGTCGGAACGATGGATCCCAGCTTTCAGAGACTTCTGGGGAGCCCCACTTGGAGGCCCTTTTGACTTAGTAAGTCTACTTAGTATCCCCTAGAAATCCTATTATAATCCCCATAACCCACCTTACTAACCCTACTTACTAAGTCAAAAGGGCCTCCAAGTGGGGAGCCCCAATATTCGGAATTAGCTGAGCAGTAGAGGCAAAGGCCTAATGTTTAGTAGTTTACAGTCAACTTTCGGGCTTTGAGGCAAGGGTTTCTTGTTGGTATGCCGTTCAGCCGAAAGCAGCAGGCGAATCGTGGCACAAGAACAGGTTTTTGTACTGTATCGATGATCGTCTTCTACTTCTCTTCCCGCCTCCAAGAGTTCACTACCCTCGAACACGCCAACCAAGCCGTGAATTCGCAAGAGCCATGTCCTCCTAAACCTAGGATACGGTTGATGATATAAATCCTGCACTACCTTAAGGACCCTAAACTATGGGAATTATGGTATATTCCTTATTATGGGTAATGCAGGTTTCATATCATCAACCGTAGTTACTGTTAAGGCCCAGTGTTTAGGATTCGGGTTGGGACTTGAGGCTTTTTCAGGTCCATTTGAAGCTACCGCTTCGGACGTCTGCGGTTTAGGGCTTCTGCGGAGTTTTGGAGTTCAGGCACTGGGGTACGCATCCCAAGGCTCTATGCCCTAAAACCGCAAGGAGTCGAATCTTTGAGTTTAGGGTGTAGAGTGGGGTTTTAGTGGCTTTTAAATTATAGGCTATTACAGGCTTTATCGTTCGCCGTTGTCCTTGTGCCCCTCAGGTGGAGCATACAGAATCCCAGGACTAATATTCCTTAATCCACTTTCCTCCAGCTTTCTGATGTTTACTGTAACCCACAAAAATTCCAACCGTATAGCATCAGTCCTTACCACTTCCAAACCCCCAAGCCCCGAAACCGGTCCCTAAGCCACCAAATCCTGAGACCTCGCCTGGCCAGTCCAAGTTGTGAGAGCGTAGGCCAGCTAAATCCTACTAGAAGCTTTATGTGGGTAGTACGGCAACCTTATAAAAGGAGCCTAAACTGTACCCCAATTTAGAGAACTACCCTTATAGATCCCTTCATAGAACCCTAAAAGGGATCCTAGCCCACCATATAGGAACCCTTCTAGAGCCACAATTCCTTATTATAAGCCTTATGTGAGTCCCTAAGCCCTGCGACACGGTACGGAGACCGAGGATTCGAAGCGACGGAGCTGCCGTTCCCTTCGGCAGCGACTTGGGCGGCAGCGTAGGATCCATATAAGGTGCCACAATAAAGATCCAGGATTTCTCAATCGGGTCCTTGTAGTAGTCTTTAACTAGGTTAGTTTCCCGTATTGTCCTACAAGGTGCCTTTTCAGAAATGCTTCTGGGAGCCTTTAAAGCACAACAGAGTTTACGGAAATCTAGGGTTTCGGCTTTAATTAGGGTTTAGGCTTGAGGGTTTAAAGTTTCAAGGGGGCTTAGATAGTTGGAAAGGGAAGCATAAGAGTTGTTTTGGGAGTTATTGCAGGGTTGTCGCAAGGCTTGTTTGTGGGTGCTATGACGTATAGCTGCTGTCATAAGGGTTATCATGAGGTTCCTTGTACAGGTCAAGAAGAGATGTGTCATATGAGTCATATGGGTTATTCATTTTCAGGGCTACCGTTATGACCAGGGGTGCTACAAGGCATTAAGAAATCAAGTGCCAATGGTAGAGTATGGAATGCCGATGGTGTGCTGTTCGAGCCATGTCGGAGTTTCGATACTGATTGGGATTTGGGTTTTTGGGTTTCGGGTTTTGTGTTTGCCATTTCGACGTAAGCCCCGAAGTCAAAAAGCCATTCGGGGAGCTTGGCTTCCTCCTCTGTGTTGGGTACATCGCATGCGATGCCGGGTGGTGTCGCTTTTGCTCCGAATTCCCGCTTGGGGTACCCTTTCCCCACCGCCGGAAGCACCACCACGTCTTGAGGCACCATTCAAGGGAGGGGACCATCGGACAACATCTACTGCACTCGGAGGAGATCCCAACTCACTTGTACGTAGGGGCAGCTGTCGTTTTCATCTGCCCTCTTCGTCCCTATGCAGGTGGGCTTGAATGTACCTCCCTAAAGCAAGGCCTCTCGAGAACGCTGTTTTGAAAGTGTTGGCCCAGGCAACATGTCCGGCAGGTGCAACTTGCCCCCGTGCAAGGAGGGAGAGGGGCTCTAGAAGCGAGGGGTTTCAGGGTTAAGGCGTACGATTCAGGCTGGGTCGGGGGTTAGGGTTAGGGTAAGACCGGGTAAGGGAGGGTTACAAGGATAGCGATGACGATTGCGGTTTTAGCGCTTGGGGTATATTGTAGGGCTCAGGGTGTTTTGGGTTTACGATCCAAGTTTAATGGGGACTGGAGATGCCGAGACTCCGATCAAGAGAGCGAGCCCATAGAGCCACAGGGACCTTCAGCTGACTTCAATTTCCATTATTTAGGCCTCATAGTAGAGTAGGTAACCTTTATGTAACCTTTTCTGGGTAGTATAGTCCCTATATCATCCCCATAGCCAAAAAGGTCAACCTTTAGTTCCCCATGATACTCGACAAGTACAGTAGGTAAGCCTCTCCTGCGATGCAGGGTTTAGAGTTTCAGGAGGGTCCAGGTTGAAGGTCTGGGCTAAGGATCCATGAGGTGTGGGTTTGGGGATAGGGTTTAGGGTTTAGGGAGCTGACTAGCCAAGAGCTGGTTTGGAAATGTTAGACCCTTGTTTGGCGGTGCACGGTTTGAATTCTCGAGGCGGTTTGCAGGTGCGTATTCCCACCCACGAAAAGGAACGACACCTTTTCACAAGCATTTGGGCTCACAGCATCCGGACCATCAGCGTGACATCAGCGAACTGCTGTGGCCATGCCGATCCAGAAGGTGCATGCACGTCAGATCTTCGACTCCCGTGGCAACCCCACCGTCGAGGTGGAAATCACCACCGAAGCGGGCGTTTTCCGCGCCGCCGTTCCTAGCGGCGCCTCCACGGGCGAGAATGAGGCTTGCGAGTTGCGTGACAGCGGCAAGGACTACATGGGCAAAGGTGTCTCGAAGGCAGTCGACAATGTGAAATCCAAGATCGCACCTGCTCTCATTGGCAAGGACCCGACAGATCAGCAGGGCATCGACAAGATCATGATAGACTTGGATGCTACGGAGAACAAGACGAACCTTGGAGCCAACGCCATTCTGGGTGTTTCCATGGCCTGCTGCCGGGCTGGTGCGGCACAGAAGGGCATTCCCCTTTTCAAGCACATCAACGAAATCGCAGGCAAGCGGGGGTCCTGAAAATGAGGATTCTATACCATTTGAATACTAAACAAGGGTCCCCTGTTTTCGGAAACTCCCAAATCGCAGGCAAGCCTCTCATGTCAATGCCTGTGCCGTGCTTCAACGTCATCAACGGCGGCGTCCATGCTGGCAACTTCTTGGCGTTCCAAGAATTCTTCCTCATCCCCGTTGGCGCCAAGACCTTCGCGGAGGCCATGAAGCTGGGGTCGGAGACCTACCACAACCTGAAGGGCATCATCAAGAAGAAGTATGGCCTTGACTCAACTGCCGTGGGCGACGAGGGCGGCTTCGCCCCAGCCGTGGCGGATCCGGAAGAGGGGCTGAAGCTACTCATGGAAGCCATCAGCCAGGCTGGCCACGAGGGTAAGATTCTCATTGGTTCGGACCCCGCGTCCTCAGAGTTCTGGAAGGGTGACGAGCAGAAGTACGACATGGACTTCAAGAGTAGCAACCCCAAGCCGGAGAACAAGAAGACTCGGGAGGAGATGGTTGCTACCTACAAGCGTTTTTGCGACACTTACCCCATTGCACTGCTCGAAGACCCCTTCGCCGAGGAGGACTTCGAGGGCCACTCACAACTCACTGCCCTGGTAGGCGACAAGGTGGGGGTTTCCGAAAATTAGGGGTACCTTATTTGGGGGTCCTTATAATAAGGATCCTACTATTTAGCGTATTATCTTAGGGTCCCCTATGTTCGGAGACCCCCAGGTCGAGATTGTTGGTGATGACCTCTACTGCACCAATGTCAAGCGTGTGCAGATGGGCTTGGACAAGAAGGCCACCAACGCCATGCTTCTGAAAGTGAACCAAATCGGGAGCGTCTCGGAGTCCATCGCGGCCTGGAAACTCTGCCGTGACAATAAGTGGGGAGTCTTCGTGTCCCATCGCTCCGGAGAGACGGAGGATACCTTCATTGCCGACCTTACTGTGGGGCTCGGCACTGGACATCTCAAAACCGGCGCTCCCTGCAGGAGCTCGGCGGCTGAAACCCTAGACCAAACACAAAGACATGGGAGTTTCCGAAAATGAGGGGTACCTTGTTTTGGGGGTCCTTGTAATAAGGATCCTACTACTGAGGGTACTATATCAGGGTCCCCTGTTTTCGGTAGCTCCCACACTGCCGCCTCATCTTCGGCCCTTGAAGTAATCTTCACCCCCAAAGCATCCCTGAGAGCCTTAAAGGGATACCCTATAATTTACCATAAAGGGTTTAGGATAATCATATTCCAACTTTCTGGCTTTTACTGTATGTAACTTCCTTGATGCCCGATGTCATCCGCTCCCTCGAGGAGTGAGCGCCTGGCGAAGTACAACCAGCTGCTGCGCATTGAGGAGGAGTCCTCGCTGCACCCCACTACACCACATTATGCCTTACTCTGCTAGTTACAAGATTACTATAGATCATAATTGTTGTATAAGACTCTGATATTCATGATAAGGTTTCTCTAAAGCATAAGATGTAACAGGCAAAAGGCTCCTATATTTCACAACTTATAACATACTATATTAAACTGTTAAAGTACATCATGGAGGAGTCTTCGCTGCCCTACTGCGGAAGCCACTTCCGGGCTCCTTGGGACCTGCCGACCACAGGAGGTTACGCCTGAGAGGCTTTGAGGTTTAGGGGACTGGGGATGGGAGATCACTAAACCCTATAAACCCCTAAACCCTATAAACCCCTAAACCCTAAACGCTCCGTGTTGCTCAAGCATTCGGGCGATGGCGCAAGTCCTGATGCACAAGGGCACTTGGGAGGCCCAGAAGATGCTGAGGGCCGTAATTGAGCTATAGGGGTTTAGGGATCAGCAGCGTCTGGGTTCCAAAAAGGGTTTGGGGTTTAGGGTTTAGGGGTTTAACGGTTTAGGGTTTAGTGTTTTGGTGTTTCAGGGTTTAGGGGCCCCGAGAGACGGGGAACTATGCGGCCCCGGCAGTGGCAAGTTTTTGTAGAACTTTTCGAGAGCTCGCAGTTCCAAGATGCAGCTCTCGCTGCAAGCCCCCAGGGGGCGGAACATACTTTTGTGATCAATGCAGACGCAGAGGCCGACTGCAAGGAGATTTGCTTCCCAAAGACTCTGAAAGGCTTCATATATGGGCTTGTTGGTTCTATGTCTGTGCATGTGCTTTTGCTCGCATCCCGAATCTTTTGGCTTTTGGTTTCCCCAAACCTTGAACCCTAAGACTGAAGCAGTCACTTGAGATGCGTGGCCCGAATGGAGCTACCCTGCCTCAGTGGCAGGCATCGGTTGATAGACGAGCTGACCTGCTGCGGTGCTTCGCTGCTTGAAACACAGTTGCGTGCCGTCCTGCGCATGCAATGACCTGCCTCGTCGTCTGAGAATATTTAGTGGCTAGCGAGTTAGCTGGTATGAAACCGTTTCAGTAGGGCAGTAGGGCTACACTAAGATAGCCTTTTTATAGTCACGTAGGGCCCAAGTTAACAGGGCATCTGTAAGGCGGGTCGTGATACCAGGGCTTTCTTTCCAGGCAGGCAACCTAAACCCTAAAGGTGAGCTTCGCTTGACTGGATGTGAAGATCGGATCGTTCCCTGCACCCGGCCCGACAGTCTAGCACATGGGACGCCGGCCGCTAGAAGATGTTAGAGCACGACGTAGAGCAGCTGAACTGTTCGTTAAGGCGTGGAACAGAAATAAACACACGTCAGCTTCTTCCGCTCCGTAGAACGAAGAGCACAGCCGGAAGCAGCAGGTGCTCTGATGCTGCCAAACAAAACCTGCACTTAGAGGAGAATGGATTCCTGAAAAGCCATCATATGAGTATTACAATAATCTGGGTTGGATTTTGGGACATTTTTTATTTTCCTTATTTGTGTTTATAAGGGACCCTATATATAAACATTTTTCAGGGTGTTTAAAGACCAACCCAGTACTACTGTGGACACTCTCTCACTTTCTTCTGATATCAAAGAAGAAAAGGAGGGACCCTCAATAAGGACCCCTAGCTATATACCCTTAATATAGCCGCTATGTACCCATGATATAGCCCATTATAGGGTAGGGGTCCCCATTAAGGGTCCCTCCTTTTCCCCTTTGCCCAACCGTAATCAGGTTCCTACAGTATTATAGTACCCTTATAGACCACTTATAGTAACCCCATATAGATCCCTTTAAAGGAACCCTAATAAAGGGCCTAGGGTCCCTCCTTTTCCCCTTTGACTGATAGCAGGACGGCCTCCACTACACACAGGCTGCTACCGGAGGCTTGGAATGCTTTTTTGGGGCCTTGCAACTTGAACCCTAAAATAGGGGACTGAAGAGTTGCCTATACTATTTTGGGTCGCTCCTTATTCTGATTATAGTATCTTATACCCCAAAACCCTAGTCTAGTGATTAAGGTCCCTATCTTAGGCCCTAGAAAAGGAACCTTGCCTTCTGTGAGTGGCAGCGTCGAAGCCAGACACCCAAGGCAACAAAGCCCTGAGGCAGCCTGCCTCAAGCCCGAAAGTTGGGTTGAGGAATTCAGGGGAAAGGGGGGCGTGACAGTGTATTTCGTTTTTGTTTGCGTGTGTTTCGAGGTTTGTCTGCTTTCCCGAGCAGTTAGTTGATTTGGACCAGTCATCTTTTAATGAATCCGCCTTTCCCTATACCAGTGCACACATTTTGGGACGCGACTCCTCTTCCAGCCACGGTCCTCGATGCTGTGCTTCTTTGGGCCAAAGGGCGTATGGCGATGCAGGGGAAAGGCGAATCCAGGAGCGAGCTCGGAGAGAACCGCGTCGAGGGGGGCATGGACCTGTGAGCTCCGGGCACTGCAGGCCCAGAGAGCCCAATACCCCTTAATTAAGGAATATAGCTTAAAACATAATATGAATCCCCTTATAATTTAAGATATATTCATTAAATTAATTAAGGGGTATTGGGCTCTCTGGGGGTGCGGCTTACAGTGCCCGATGTTCACGCTGCAACCAGTTGACCGCCTGCAGTCGTTGTGTCGTTGTGCTTGTGTGTTGCTATTTGCTTTCATGTTGTGCTGCATTGTATTGCTGTTCGGGGTACTAGAATGGCCCCAACAGTTACCTACACTATTTTGGCGGCTCCTTGTTAGAACTATGGTCTAACTAAGGCCCCTACAGCCTAGCCGAGCCTTCGGGCCGGCCGTGACATGCTTGTTACTTAGCTTTGGTTAGTAGGGAATGGAAGAATGGTAGTAATAGTAGTTATTCTTGTACCCCATTCCTCCATTCCCTACTAACCGAAGGTAGGTTATAGGATTATTGAGGCCCCTACGTTATAGTACCCTTATAGATACCTAATAGTAACCCTTATAGACCCCATTCCTTAGGCCGGACTCCTACCCTGGTCTGTCTCTGGCACCACCCTCTGCCTCCAGAAGTCGTGCTCCTGCCACAAGAAGTGGCTGTTTGCGAGCCTTGCAGGTACCTAATTTTTGGGTCCTTATAATAAGCTACTGTTTCGGGTGCTGTATTACGGTCCCCTATTTTCGGAAACTTCTCAGACGTGCATGTTGACTCATGTGGGGGTGCTAGGAGCCCCCCGGCCGGAGGCATTTGGGGGTTCGGGGGTTCTTTTGTTGTCGGAGATGCAGTGGTTGAGTTGTCAGGGTATGTCCGGAGTTCGAAGCTTGAGATTCTACACCAGACTGCTTCGTGCATACACCTCCATTCTGTTCCACTTCTAATTACTAATCGCTCATGCATGCCTACAGGTAATAGCCAACACTATTTTGGGCTCCGTATCCTAAACCCTAAACCCGAAACTGCACAATATAATCTACTATACCCCCCAAACACTGTTTAAAATATTCCTAAACCCTGAACTATACAATATTATCCAATATACGACAAAAAACCTTAAACCCTAAACAAAATCCCATCTTGCTTGACAGGAACTCATACGGTGCTGCTGCGGAGCGATGGCGAGGCACCACTTCGGGGATTCGGGCTTTGCCCCCTGGAAAAGGGCGTGGGGTTGGGTTTTAGGTTTTTTGGGGGTTTAGGGCTTTTGGGGTTAAGGGGTTTAGGGTTTCTGGTTTCTGGGGTTTGGAGTTTTTGGGGTGTGTTTTGGGGGTTTACGGTGCCACCATGGCATTCGTAAGAGTCAGGGTTGTAAAAGGGTTGGCGGCACAGGCTGCAGCAGGGAGTATTGTATTTTTTGAGAGGCTAAAAGTGTGGGTGGTCGTCAAAATTAGGGTCCCTTTTTGGGGTCCTTGTTATAATACGGCACCTAGTATTTAGGGTACCCAAAAAGGGACCGTAACTTTGACAACCATCCACGTGTTGGTTCGAAGTTGTTGGGCGGGGGATCTCTCGATGTTCGGCGGTGGTTCTCAAGTCATGCCATGGCAAGAAAAGAACGTGGAAACAAATAACCCAGCACGTAAAGGGTTGCGTTGTCCGGGAGAGATAAGTGGAGGAGGAGCTTCACGACTGAAGTGTCGGGCCTTGCGAACCTGCAAGCCTGATACCAGAACAGACCTGTAGGGCTTGAGCTAGTTGGGTCCGAACACCGTCGTAGCCGAGAGATTAGGCCATCGACCTTGACAACATAGAAGCCGCAGTTGTTGGTTAGTTTGAGTCCGGGGGAATGTGCATGTCAGGCTGTGGGGAAGCAGATGGAAATGTTTTTCAGGTGTAGGGCTTGAGGAGCGGAGGTCGGTGCTGAGGGGTTTGGATTTAGGGTCTTGGGATGGGTTCAGAGTTGAGGATTTGGGCCTCACTCCGTGGCACATCCTGTTCGGGATTCAGGGTGCTGGGACATAGTTTGAGCTCCGGGTTTCGGATTTCGGCAGTTTGCGAGAGTATTCTTTAGGGTTCTTTATGCTTGTTTTCTCTACTCTGATACACCCCTGCTCAACCCTCTTCCGTTTATTCCGACCCCAAATCGCTACAGCCTTTCTCCCGGAACCAGTTACCAATACTGTTGTGGGGGGTTCCTTATTATGGTGACAGTATAATGTACCCCAAAACCTCTTCGTCGACAGGCTTTCGCCCGCATCACCCCAAAACCCTAGTCTAAATATTAAGGCCCCTAATATAGAACCCTACTATAGAGGATCCCGTTAAAGGAACCCTATTCAAGCAAGGCTCCTATAGTCTGGTACGAAGCTCTGTGTGTTGCTGCCCTGGAAGGTGGAAGTCTTCGGCGCCATCCTTTTGAATGCCTGGGCCTTGTTTAGGGTTCAGGGTATAGGATTCCTTTAAAGGGGCTGTATAAGGGTTTCTGTAAGGGATCTATAAGGGTACTATAACATAGGGGCCTTAATTCTTAAAATGGGGCTTTGGGCCCGATTATACTGTATCTATAATAAGGAACCCTAAGAAATCATATTGCTAACATATCTGAGAGCATGATACGGCCAACATATTATCTCGAAGCGAGACCGCGGTCGTGAACGAACCGCAACCCCATCAGCTGTGCAGAGGGGTCATCGACCTTACCTCACCCCACAGACCGCCAAGAAGGTAAAACCGAAACCGACAACAACAACCCCAAAAAAACCTGCGCCCTTGTACCGGGACCTGCAGCGTCACAGGGCTGTCGCGAAGCGAAGCCATCAATCAGACCCCAAAACGAAAAATGAAGCGAAATGGCTTCCGCTTCGGCTCCAACCTGCACAACCTGAGCCCCAGACTTCAATCTCTTAGTAGCTTCGTAAGTAACCTTTGACATTTTGGGGTTTAAAAAACGGTATCATACTTGACAAGGTTAGCCCTTTTGGGTAGCGTCCTCAGCCCCGAAGTGGGAGTTTCCGAACTTGATTGGATACTATACGGGATTTAGGGATTCAGGCGGCCTAAGTGAATAATTACTTAAACTATTGGGGGCCTACATAAATAACTGAATATACTATTTTTTGGCGTTCCTTATCATATGTATAATACCATAGACCCCAAAACCCTATTCTAATTATTAAGGCCCCTACATTAGCCGAGCACTGTACCGGATTAGGAGCTTACAGCACTCGGGAACGGAACAACTCAAGCCCTAAACCATCTAGGCCTACCAGCAGGTTATATAGCTACGGTGGGAGTCTTGTTTCCGGCTTTTCCTTGAAGTTGTTACGATTGCGGTTTCACCGAGCCCAGAAACCCCAAACCCAGTCTCTGGCAGTGGAAAGCACCAAGCGAGCAACCTGCAGGCCTCCGTGAGGTCCGAAATCCCCAAACCCCCAAAAACTAGGACCTAGAGTAGGCCCTTATTTCCTTTTTTGGGGGTTTAGGTTCCCCTTATGACCCCCTTTAAACCAAAAAGGGCACCCTTTTTATTCCTAGGTTACTCTTAGATCTAGAGAACCTAAACCCTAAACCCCCCACCTGACTCTCTTAGGGATGAAGGCCGTTGGTTCATGTGCATATAAAGTGTGATGGGCTCGGAAACTTAGTGATGAGGCCAACAAGCCCGCCTCATATGCTGAGTGGCCAAACTGCTTCGAACAGAAGCTCAGGCATATGTTACCTGAACTACCCTGCAATGCCATGTAGGAGGGAAAAACCCCTCCTCCGTGAGGTCCGAAATCAGACCCGCCACGTGCCTTTCGAGATTGTGCCGGAGCTGCCTTCTGGAACGACATACACACAGGCCTTGCAAAACTCAGAAGAAAGACCCTACTGGTATGTATTTCTAAGAGACAAAATCGTGCTTACAGCGACCAATATAGCCCGTACCGTACATACACCATTCTTTTGCTAACAACCACTGTTTGTGACGATCTGAGCGATACTATCCCGGACCCCCCACTGGAGTATTTCGTGGGATTGCAGGGTTTAGGGCATTTCTGAAATCCTGCACCCTCGGTAGACCCATGCATGCCCGTGATGGCAGCCTTCCGGGAGGACTTCAGAAGACTTTGTTGCAGTAGGTTCAAGATTGAAGGTATTTTTCTTAGTAGCTGAGTGGACACACTTTACACTTGTTGGGATAGTATTGCCCACTACATCCTAGACAGCCCCAGCCGCTGAACACCGAAAGCCCTGAAGCCCTAGACCTGGAACCCTTGAGCGCATCGGAAAGCCTTGGAAGACTAGAGAAGACATCAACATATATAAATTCCCAAACCCTGAGAATAGTAAAACTTTGCAAAGGTCCGAATCCTCAAACAAGAAATTAACACCCGTCACAGAGTCCATAAGAGGCCAGTACTTCCCAGCACCATCCCGCGAGGTTGCTGCCGGCTTCCACCACGCCATCGCACTGCGCAGCGATGGCCAGGCGTTTGCCTTTGACGAATCTCGGACGGCCGGTCTGGCCTGAAAAGGTCTTTGCTGGAAAGAAGTGAAGGTCTGAGGTGACTTGGTGGAGGATGTAGCATGGGTGTTTTCTTCTACCTGAGTTCATCCTGGCTGTGATGCGATGTATATCGTGCCTGGCCTTGTGTATTGCTTCTTCGGTTCTGGGGAGAGGGTTGGTTCCCCTTGAAAAACCCTATAGACCCAGACCTTCCAAAATTCCGCATTTAAGGAACATACCTGATATTTTAGTAGGATCCCTAAGAGGATTTAAGGTATATTCCTTACTTAAGGGAGTGTGGAAGGTCTGGGAACTCTAAACTCTAAACCTTAGATCCTACGCCCGAAACCCTTGCAAGGGTTTTGGAACCTGGTTTGTGCCCGAGCCAGGGAAGGATTGTAGGGGCCCAGAATTACAGGTTTGTGGCTCTTATATCTTAGTAGCTGAGTAGGTAACCTGTAACCTGTTGTGGTTTATATAACACTGCCATAATTGAAAGGTTAACCATTTTTGGGCTAGCGTACTCAGCCCCTAAGATATGGTGGAACACAAGCTCGGCCCCGACACCCTTAAGAGCGAATTCCTGAAGAAAGGGCTGCCAATCCCTTCGAAATTCAGGCCTCCTTGTTATTCTCTACTCGGTTAAGATTGACCGCTAGCAGAAAGGAAAATAGAGCCGACAAAAACAACACGGGACAACAACGCGTCAAACGGGTCACCTAGTTTGAACCGAATGCCACTTTTATATAGGCATACTGTAAGTTGCCTCGAAGCCTTCCGTACGGTGTCTAATCCAGCCCTCTATATTATCCTATATTAGCCCCGGAAAGGAAGGCTATGTCGACGAGCAGCATCGGCGCCGACGCTGCGCAACTCCTCTTGCCCTGGCTCGCTTTGTTTACAACGAGGAGATATAGAAGTAGGTTCGCTTCCTATGTTCTACAGTCAAAAATGTGGTGTGATGGTTTGTGACCATGTTCTGATGCCAGCACTTTGTCCTTGATTCATTGCTGTTGGTAGCTGTTATGCAGCTAAAGTACCTAAAGAGAGACCTCGTCTGGCACGCGTGAAGTACCTAAAGACTCTGGTGGCCTAAGCCGGAAAGCCCTGACGCCCCAGACGTAATTAAGGGGCCTCTATATTGAAGAAAGGCAGCATCCCGCAGCCCTAAACCAGGTTGAGATCCCGCCTCCCCCAAGCGGCCTGCGCTACGTGCAAGTGGCTGCAGGACGCCATTTGCTTGCCCGCACGCCCGTGGTTCGAGGATAGAAGAGCTGTAACAAGAAGGTGTTCCTTTAGGTGTCTGTTGTTGAAGGGCAGCGCATGTGTTTGAGCAGGCTGTACATGTCGTTTTCGAGCATGTCTGCTTTGTGCTTCCAATCGATGTCTGGCAATACCGTGTCAGAAACCCCAAACCCTAAACATTAAACAAAACCCTCACCATGCTTTGCCGGCTGAAGGAAATCTGCACAGCTTGATGCTGTTGGATTCTGGCGACGTGGTGATTGCAGGGAATCGCCAGTTTCCGTGTTGTCCCCCGGTTAGATCGTCAATGTGAGCATGGTTTCAGGATTTGGTTTTGGCATGTAGGGCTTTTGCCACCGACTGTGGTGCACGAAGGATTTCTGCAAGCTGGCCCCTCGGAGCAATAATTTGAGCCAGCATAGCCAGAATAGCCAGATGTTGCTGTTTAGAACTTGTTGTAATCAGCCTTGTAATTAGGTATCAACATCCTTGAGCCCGGTTCAGCAACCTTCCGGCACACTCTTGGAGCTTTCGTTGTGCCGGGCTCATTTCAATGGGACCTCTCCTGTTTCATCCGCGTGCAAGGGTCTTCGATGCTGGCATTTCACGAGTTCGAAGCACCAAGCTTGGCCTCAAGTGGCCCTATATTCCTGATGCCGAAGCCAACTGGGAGCAAATACAGGCGCCTTGCCAATTAGAAGAGGGCTTGATTATGTTTTGGAGTACATCATGGAAAAAGCAACATAATCAGGAACACTGCGGAATAGCATTGGTGCCCCTATAGTTCTATACATCCCGAAACCTGTCTGTCTCTATATGTAGGGCATGTAGTATAAATTCTAAATTATAACGTCATACAAGTAGCCGTGAGGTGTGGTGCCGCCGAAGCCCGAGTCCGTGAGGTACAAGCAGGCGAAGAACGGCAGTGAAGAGGGTGTGGAGCTGTGGGTTCAAGAAGGGGACTTTGCTAGCGTACTATAAGGGCCTCAATGCCTCAATAATTACCTATACGATTTTGGGGGTTCCTTATTTTAACTATAGTATAATGGGCCCCAAAACCCTATTCTAATTATTAGGGCCCCTATATCAGTCTGGCTAGCCTTGAGCCCAGTAGCAAAGAGATGGACTTTGCTATGGCCCATCATGTTACTCATTACCGCTCATGTCCCGGAGTTGTTCAATAGACCCGGGTGATGTTGCGGAGAAATCAGCTCTGTTTTGAGATCCGACAGTCCAGGGCCTCGTGTTGCAGAGATTTCGTGCTAAGATCTGTAGAGCAGTGCTACTGCAAGAGCCACATGGAGGTCATACCACAACAGGTTCTGAGCAGCTATGAATAACAAGAAGAGTTCTCATGCATGCCATGCTGCAGTTTTGTGTCCTGCGTAGCTGCCGTCATTCAGTTTGGGCTTCTTATCCTTAGCGTCTCATTCCTAAAAACCCTTGGAGTAATATTTATAGTATTGTACTCTAAACCCTACATTTAAGTATTGTATGCCTCCAAAACCTGGACCTGCCTGCTGTGGAGGGTCTCCGGGCTTCTGGGTTTGGGTGGCCGATCAAGAAGTCAGCGGCCATGCGCTGATATAGGGCCTTGCTGATAAGTATGGGGTTTACCGGTATACCATGTTATCATCATAGGAGCCGGAGCCCCAAGGAATAGTACGGAGACTTATTCAGGCGTCTACATGATAGGTTCAACAGTCTTCCACCTACGCACAAGGAAGGCCAACGAGTCGTTGTGCAGTGCGCAAGCAGCATCAGCAAGGCGCAATGCGCCGACATAGTACAAGAGCCGCAGTTTTTAATTTTTTAAAGTTTTAGCGGAACTTCCAGAAGCAGTAAGAACATTCCTGTGTCATCCTTGTGTCCTTATATGGTTTGCGTACCCCGAGCAACCCGCGTCGAACGATTTGGGCCACTAGAATAGGCTTGAGCCGTAGTGCTGGAGATCCAGAAATTCCACTAGCTACGGCCTATGTGGGTGGAGTTGTCGAGAGTCTAAGCCTACTACGGGGTCTTTTTTAAATAATTACCTATACTACTCCTGTGGGTTCCTTATCATAACTATAGCATAGTATACCCCAAAGCCCTATACTAATCGTCAAGGCCCCTGGGAAGAGCCGCAGGTAGCTGCTGGAGACCGGTTTTCGTTGTTCCTGCGCACCGATGGAGTTGCGGTGGCTTCCGGCACAGTCCCTGAAGATGCCACTCGCTTGCCAGGCTTTTGGGGCGGTGTGCGGTTTCGGGATCAGGTTTCTCAAGGTTTGGCTTTAGCCGAATCCGGGGTTGAGGGATGTGCACTAGCTGCGAAGGCTCACATTGGCCGACTAGACCTCGGAACTGAGGTGCGATAAAGACCAACCATGGTAATAGCTATCGGAAGTTCGCATAAAAACCAAGCAGCGTACATTTAGCAGATTTAGCAAGTGGCTTCATCAAAGTCTCATGTGTAGAGATGCCCAAGGAAGTCTTCATATTCGTCATACCGAACCATGAAGGTTCTACAGATGTAGGCGAGGCCTATCAAGTTGAAGGCTACCAACCTGTGATCAAATCTGGATCCTTCGTGCATCAAAAAGCTGAGGCTTACTCGAACACACATTCCTGGACTTTGGTTGAGCGCGCTTAATACCCCTTGACATACCCCCCTTACTAAACGTCCTAGATCAAAAATCTATATACCCCTACCATGCCGGAAGCAATTACTGTACCCCGCAACCCTCTTGGTAGAAACAGCAAACACACAATACGCAATGGACTTGTATAGATGATGACGATGTATATATGTGTATTTGCATGTGTAGGTGTAGGCATATGTGTATGTACATGTATTTGTATTTGTATCTGTATATGCATGGGCGTATGTCTTATATGTATGTGGTGGGGGCATAAGTTTAAACAGTATATACATATATACATATACATATTTACGTTTGTACAGACAGCTATAGAGACATAGATATGCATAAATGTATGTACACATACACACATGTGTTTGTGTAAAGAAAATACACACCTGTATACACGTATGTGTGACACTTCAACCCCCTGCCCCCAGCCCACTTAGTAGCTGAGTGGATACACCTTACACTTTTTGGGATAATACTACCCACGATAAAACTAAAACTGTACACTTTTGGGTGGTTTACGAACTCAGCAACTTAACCTCCCCGTAATAGGTTAATAGGTCTAGAGTTTAGAATCTAGTGTTTCACCCCCCCCCCCCGCCCCTAAACCCCTGGACCCGCCCAAGCCCAAAGCTTCATACCCGAAGACCCAGGGCAAGCGCGTGAATCTGGAGATCCCCGAGCCGGGACCCGGGATGGACGATTGGACCGCCTTGGCAAGCTTTCGGTTTTTTTGGGGGGATTCCTTTCTAAAGGGTCTATATACACATATTTTGCATAAATAAAGCCCAAACCCTAAACCCCGTAAACACCCTAAACCCTAAACATTAATCTAGACCCGAGGCGTACGTGCAAATTTCGGCGGGCGCCGACCACGCCGCGCTGCTGCGCAGTGACGGGAGGGTGGTGGCCGTGGGATCGAAACCTGGACCTTTTAAAGGGTACTATAAGGGTTCCTTTAAGGGATCTATAGGGTTTAGGGAGTTTAGGGTTTAGGGTTATAGATCTGCCTTGTTCCGCTGTATCAGGCTGTTTCCGAAAATTAGGGGGACCTTTTTTTGGGGGTTCTTTATAATAAGGATCCTACTGTCTAGGGTGCTATATTGGGGTCCCCTATTCTCGGAAACCCCCATTTGGTGCCTTCGCGCGGTATACGGCTTACTTAGTAAGCTTAACGTCATTGCAGCAAAACGGAAAGGAGCAGCGAACGTGAATTACCGAAAGTCCTGTGACCATTGACCGCACTATCCGCACTACTTGTGGCAATCACCCGCTGGCCCTCATCCCTAACCATACTTGCAGCTTGAAGTCGCCTGAGTAGAATCAAGTCGTTTCAAAAGTAAGGCGGCTAGAGGTACAACGAAATGAGAAAAGGCTGAGAGCTTCTAACCAGACTGCCCAGCCTTGATCTTGATTTGTACTGTAGGGAAGGGGTTTCTCCGAAACTGCAGTGGGTTTGGTGAGTCTAGTTTGATCCAGTCGTGAATTGTGAATTTAATTGGGTATCTCCAGCAAGATAGCGGAATACAACATCTATATTGATGCACCTCAGGGTCCCGGCAGCTGCAAAGTTTGATTGGCAATGGCTCCTCATCGTCATTGCAAGAAGTGGCTGCAGAGGTTTTCCACTCATGCTGAAACCATCATGCAAGAACGGTCTACATACGAGGCCTTTTTCTGTCAAGACCCGCTTCCCACTCAAGTCAACCTTTCGTCAGCGTGAAAGCAGAGTGGAAATGACTGGACTCGGTTTGGATGATTTGGGATCCAATTAAGTGAGATGGCCAGAATCAGAACTTGAGCCTAAGGGGGGTGTAGCCAGGGTTGAGGCCGGAAACACGGTGGCATGTTCAAAATGCAAGGATGCCCCGAAGCCCTATGGAACCCTCAACCCTGCAGTAACTCCTAAAGAACCCATTCTAGAAACCTTCATCATACCCCCCTATAGTAATAAGAGGAACCCTTAACCCATCATTGCTGAAACCCGTACTGTAACCCCTATAGCAATTCACACGACTGACCTATGATGGTACCCCAAACCCTACTTAAAGGCCCAGGGGACTTAGTAAGTAGGTTATAAGCAGAGTTATAAGTACCCTAAATGGAGTTACCCCAATTATAACCCAATTTATAACGGACTTACTAAGTCCCCTGGGCCTCTAAGTAAATCCTAAACCGCCGAACCCCGAGCCCGAAGCCTTCAGCGCTGTACCCAGGAACGGCTACCGGCAGTGTGAGATGCCACCACCGATAGCAGAGGATCCGTATGTGCAGGCTTGGAAAACCACAAACCCTGGAACTAAGGTGGCTTCTTTCGGGTTTCAGAGCTTTGGGGTGTTCGGGCTAGCATTGCAAGGCTTCAGGTGTCCTTGTTTTGGTGGGTTGTCTTTTGTGGTTGGGGCTTGCAGGGTTTGTTTGGGCTTTCCCAGCTGTTTGAGCCGAAACTCCAAGTTGGAAACGTGCTGGTGGGAAAAACTCTCAACTTCTACCCCCCACGACGCGATCTGAGTCGGAAGCCGCAGACCAGAACCCCAAATCCGAAACGCAGGACTCTAGGCGGCAGCATCGCTGTTCCGCCATAGCCTTTTCTGGCCCCTAAAGTCAAGAACGACCTTACAAGCCAACACGACTGTTCGTCGTGGTCGTATACCTAGGATGCCCAGTAGTTCCCTTATTCCCTTTTTGTAGTCCTAGGTTCCTTATAAAGTTACCCAATACCAAAAAGAGAGGCCTTTTTATTCTTAGGTTACTGGGTATCCTAGATACTGTACCACTCCAAAGGTTCTAAACCGTAGGCCCAAGCCCCCCCAGCCCTTGGTTGTCTCCTAAGCAAGAGCTTGTCGTGTCGAGGTGATGGCCAGGGGCTGCTTGGCAGGGATACTGTAGGGGCCTAAATAGTTACCAATTATTTTGGGGGGTTTCCTTACTATATTTATAGTATAACGGGTTTCAAAACACTATTCTACTTATTGAGGCCCCCATGTTACTGTGATCTGGCTGTGTTGACTGGATGGATCAAGGGGCCGAGTGGAACCGGTTTAGGGTATGCGGTTTGGGTCTCGGGCACTAGGGCATCGGTAAGAGGGATCCGGAGGGTATGTGTCATGAGAGTTTGGGATTTGAGGTTCCGGGTCGTGCAATCGTACAAGTTCAGGGTCGGTTGAGTTCATTCAGATCAGAAGTGAGGCCTGACATGCAGGAACTTCTATAGTGGCTTCTGTGAGTCTCTCTCCCGATGCTGCATAGAGCCTCCTCGAAACTACTAGGGTCTAACCACCAGTAGCAGGCGAAATCTGCAGACTCCTTTCGCGAAGACAGTTCCACTGAACATATCAGGCAGGGTTGAGGTTTTGGAACCCGGTGCTATCTACATGACATGTTATCTTGTAGAACACCGGCCGCAAAATCGCGATTGTTGACCCGACACTCCTACACCCTAAAACCAAGCCCTTGACGAGCAAACCCCGCGCAAGCTTGAATCCTAAAACCCTAAACCCTAAACCCTAAACCCAAAACCCTACCGAATCCCCCAACCCCCAACCTCCAACAATAGAACCCAAAAGGCCCACCAGACCCCGAAGGAGTTGAAGAGAGTCCCCTTCCCGTCCAGACACTCCAATATCCCTTAATCAAAGAGTATACCTTAAATCTTATTAGGAATCCTAGTATAATTCAAGGTATATTCCTGAATTTAGGGATATTGGAGTCCCCTTCCTGCCGTGCTTTGAGGCCACCACACGATCCTCATCCGGGCCAATGGTTCGGCAGTGGGCGTCGGTGACGCAGCCGCGATCTTCTTTGAGGTTTTTCATGGTGGAACAGACGGGAGTTTCCGAAAATTAGGGGTACCTAATTTTGGTGTCCTCGTAGTAAATAATTGCAACAGGGTCCTGGCATATCATTCGCAGTAGTTAAATCATACAGCGGACACTATTACCAATTCGTCACTTTGGGTAGCCAAGGGGTAGTTTAACCGTTTAAACGGGAAATGGTATGTTTTTGGGTTTGTTGTTCTGGGCTCGTCCTGGTCTGTAGTTCAGCTTAAGCCAATTAAGGTCGTTGACCACAAAACAGGAATTGCGACTACGCATCAAGATACAGTACTTGAACGCCTGTTGGCTTGCACATTGGCATTCTGCGAGTTCGCATTGTGATCTCCGTGCTGCCATGGTCGCCGTAAGCATCAGCAAGCTATCCGACCAAGGCCGAAATGATGCTGGCCAAATTGACTCCCTGGGCTTTGTTGAGCAGTTTTTCAGATAGTTTTTGGGCGGTCAAAACCCATGAATCAAGAAAAGCAGACTAACTCCATCCCAGAGACGAAACCCCGAGAGCAGCAGAGGACATCCCCAGCCTGGAGGCAGACTATGCCTACGTGGATGTCGCAGCGGCCGATGCTCAGCCTGAGCCTTTTCGGTTCAGGGTTTCGCGTTTGTCTTGTTCAAGCTGTAGCTGCTACTACCGTGTAACATTACCGCCACGACGACGACTTCTACTGCTACTCGTCCTACTACTACTACCACTACTACTACTACTACTACTACTACTACTACTACTACTACTACTACTACTACTACTACTGCTACTGCTACTGCTACTGCTACTGCTACTGCTACTGCTACTGCTACTACTACTGCTACTGCTACTGCTACTGCTACTGCTACTACTACTACTACTACTACTACTACTACTACTCCTACTAACCTACTTCTGCTAATGCTGCTGCTACTACTACTACTACTGCTGCTGGCTACTACTAGTACTACTACTAGTAGTACTACTACTACTACTACTACTACTACTACTGCTGGCTACTGCTGTGAATCCTGCCAGCCCAAACGAGTATTCTGATAAGCACACTCCAACTCCCTATGTGGTACGTCCTACTCTGCGAAAGCTATCTATCCTGAAGCAGCAAAGGCCACCGTCCCCCTAAACCCCAAACCCTAAACCCGAATAAACCCTAAACCCTAAACCCTTCTCCGCCTGAGGAACACAACACCGTCGTGCTGCGCAGTGACGGCCATGTCCAGGCCTTCGGAGGAAACTACCATGGCACTGGACTCAGTAAACTGGGTTGTCCTTTGGGATCTTTTTTAATCTCCCCTATTTTGTAGAGAACGATAACAGTAAATGATTTTCAAAGGGCTGAAAGGACAACTCAGTAAATCTCCTCGTGGGTTGTGAAGCCTTACACGACCCCGAATGTTTTCTAGAAGTGATTCGGGGTCGTGGGGATGTCAAGTGCGTAGGACACTACCCCCCCGGCCCCCCCCCAGAGACTATCATAACCTACAGCCCTGAATCCTTGCAGCCCCGAATTCGGAGGGCCCAAAGCTTCAGCCATGGACGAAGGGCTCAACATCATACATATATGCTCATATGTACATAGATGTATACACAACTAAGTGAATATGTCAGTGAATACATCATGTAATTACATATGTACGTATGTATGTATGTATGTATGTATGTATATACGTATGTACGTATGTATTTAAGTGTGTATGACTGACTGACTGACTGAGTGTATGTGTGTGCCCGCCTATGTGCGTATGCATGTAAGTATGTATGAATGGAAGCGCGAGTAGATATATACCTACGTGTGTATGTGTGTTTCAACAAAAACACTTGAAACTTGCATATGCAAACATGAGTATGAATATCTGTATATCTATTTACACACACACACAGATATATATATATATATATATATATATATATTTATATATATGTGTACTGTTTCAATAATCGTAGAGTAGGTAGTTTGCATGTAGTATGCCTGTATAACCCCACAGCTTAACTTTGGGTTCCCTAGGAAGCTGGACAAGCAAGAGTTCGACTTCAGCGCACAAGGGGCCTAGAAAGTCAGGCAGGGATCAAGGATACAAGTAAACAAAGTCGAGAATCTGTCGAAAAGCTTTGGGGGGTTTGCTGTTTAGAGGATCACTCAAGCGTGATGCTTTGCGGGAGGTCGTGGTATCTACAGTGCAGGCTTTACTTCATGTCAGAGTTCGGGGGCCGGGGTGTTTCGGAAGAAGGGCATTTTGGTCACAGGTGTCGGCACTGAATGAAAGTTCGGGGGTGTTTCGGAAGAAGGGCATTTTGGTCACAGGCTTCGGCACTGAATGAACAGACATCGTGGCTGCGCAGTCATTCGAGATCCTGCTGAGCCACTGAATGATGAGCAAAGGCCAATGCAACATACCACCACTCCACCCGGGTGAGCGCTACACCCAGGCCCGGCGTGACCGATTGACAAAAATCTTTCTTCATGGGGACCCCGACCCTATAATGGGCTATATAATGGGTATATAGTATAGCTATATTAAGGGTATATACCTAAGGGTCCTTATTAAGCTTGGTGCGCTTGCCGGCAACGTAACTTCGCAGCATCTGCAAGTGAGCACGGTCACCATGGTTGTCGCTGTGACTAAACTCTGCTGTTATTCTCATATAACCCTTTTGCAGTTCCAAGGCAAATCTTCTACTTGCCACTTTCGACCTTCGACCACGACGACTACTTACAATAATAAATATAGTAATTACTAATAATAATAATAATAATAATAATAATAATAATAATAATAATATTAACATCAGCAATAATAATACGACCATCACTATCACTATCAGTACCGCTACCGCTACTACTGCCGCTCCGCTGCTGCTGCTGCCACCACTGCCACCACTGCCACCGCTGCTGCTGCTGCTGCTGCTGCTGCTGCGAAGCACATCATGACGGTGGCGCAGATCTCTTATGATGGCAGCGGGCCGCATGTCGTGAGTGCAACGAAAATCTCAGCGTGGTAGTGTCAGAGACTGAAAGCACCCGGTCAGTGTGTGAAGCTTGCAACATCTTGCAGGTAGCGCTTGTCTGATGTTCGTCACTCTTGACATCGGTGCATCCTGAACAGTCTCTGGGCAGGGAGGAAGGAACCTGCGACAGCTTCTGCTACGGAATTTGTTCGGCCTCCCGTCGCAGGTGGCTTGCGGCTACGGACACATAGTGCTGCTGAAGAACAGTGGCACAGCTACTTGGCAGTTACTTTGGAGAAACCCTACAGTCAGATCGGGTCGTGATTCCCGCATGACAGAGTTCGGGGGGGTGCCCAGGGACTCCAAGATCCCTCAATTAAGGAATATACCTTAAATTATATTAGGATCCCTAATGTGATTTTAAGGTATATTCCTTAATTAAGGGGTTTTGGAGGCTCTGGGTGGTTCCACAAGCAGGACTTCAGACATGCCCGCGTCCTGTTCCGCAAGAACTACAGCGCCGTTGCAGCTGTTGCTGATCTCCTGCTACCCACATCCCCCCGCATGAGCATGCAGGCCCCCGACGCGCCAAGCTTGATGGCAAGTCAGAGGGCACACTCCGGGTTTGTACAAACGTTCTTGACAGGTCTGACACCGCTACAGCAGCCACCCAAACCCGGACGAAGGCACTCTTCCACCAAGAAATCAGGGCTCGGGGGCAATTGCAGGCTCCAGAGGGTGGGTTCAAGCTGGTGCGGTGGCTGAGGAAGGATGCCATCCCCCTCCCCAAACACATCCTCAACAGCCCCGAAGATGTTACAGGCAACGGACGGACATTTGCGGTGCAACGAACAGTGATCATCAGTACATCGTACGCACCTACATGTTGTATCATCCAGAAGAGATGCACAGTTATCGGCAATCTTACGGATGCACTCTTCCGTTCAGGCGGGTAGGTAGGAAAGGATGGATGGAAGGATACACCTATTTGTGGCCGAGTCGGTGCACACAGGCACACTTGCAATCTCCAGTGACTGAAGTGTGAATAATGTCCTCTAGCAAGCTTCGCGCTGAGATCTTACTCCAAGGTCGTGGCCTGCGGTACCAACAAAAATGGCCAGTGTGACATCCCTGCACTGGACAGTGGCACGACCTACACACAGGCCCTCAAGCTTGGACGCTGAGCCTTGAAGAAAGCTCAGCGTTGGATGCAGCATCAGACCTTGCCTGGCATGTCCGAGTGCGAGTGTCAACTACATGGGAGTTTCCGAAAATTAGGGGTACCTTATTTTGGGGTCCGTATAATAAGGTCCAACTATTTAGGGTGCTATACTAGGGTCCCCTATTTTCGGAAACTCCCACATGTCAAAAGAAAACACGAAGACCAGGGAATACTGAGCCTGGTCTTCACACCCATCATCCCAAGAGTTGCCCGAGTCCTGCGAGCTCGAAACCGTCTCGTGTTCAGGTTTTATCCAAAACCGGGAGAGTCCAATTCATGAACGTATACACGTAAGCCCCATAAACTACCAACCCGAAACGTCAAGTCTCGTAATCTTCTTTCAGCCCTTCGGTCTGTGTTATGACAAGCACAGAGAATCGACAGACCTCCTGAGGACCATATCTGCTGAAGCTATATAAACCTCGCAATCCTCCTGACTCCATCGCCCCACACTCCCAAAATTCGGGCCCACCATACACCTTCAGCCGAAAATCCCAAACCATCGCCTGCAAAAGCCCAAAAGATTGTAGGCTTCTTAAGCTCTGGTCTTCGCGGCGATGTATCGCTTCGGCTGAGTTCCCGAGACCCCTTTAAAAACCCCTAAAGGGAACTCCAGAAAGTTGGAATATGGATTAATGGTAGGATCCCCTATAATTTACCTTAAAGGGGTTACGATAATGATATTCCAACTTTCTGGCTTCTACTGTAGTAGTAGAGTAGGCAACCTTAAACCTTTGTTTTGGATAGTATAGTATAGTCCCTACAAAATCCCTATATAACCCGAAAGGTGAACCTGCAGTTCCCCATGATACCAGGCAAGTAGGAACCGGACCAAGTGGAACAGGGGCTACGTACTTGGGAAGGAGGCGAGCCTGCCAGAACTCTTGTAAAGACCTGGTAGACCCTTTAGAGACTTTTTGCAAAACCCCGTGGAACCCTGTTGAACATACTGTTGATGATATAAATCCTGCACTACCTTAAGGACCCTCAACTATGGGAATTATGGTAGATTCCTTATTATGGGTAATGCAGGATTTATATCATCAACCGTATCAAAGACAAAACCCATTTAAAGAAACGACCCTAAATCCTGAACCCTTGCCCTTGGCCTTAGTCGTAAAAAGAGTGTTAATTAGTGGTATTGATAGTAGCACTAGTAGTCTGCTAGTAGTAATATAACCAAGTAAGATAGCAGATACATGTGTATATATATATATATATAATATACAGAACTCAATACTAGCAGTGGCAGTGCAATAGAGTAGTAGTACAGCAGGCCGCCGCGCTGGAGGGTGCCAGCCTTCTCCTCCGCAGTGACCAGCGCCTTGTTCTATGCGGCGCCGGCGATTTTCTTCCGTGGCCGCCTGAGTCCCCCGAGGTGTTCAAAGTAGTTTCTTGGTGTATAGAAGGGGTTAAGAGGTAAAACTGTCCAAAGTAGCTACATGCTGCAATGCGTGGGGTTCTCAAGGTAAACGGGTCCAAACTAGTTGTTACGTACTGCAAAGAGCTTGGACGGCTCTGAGGTAGCTGCACAGTACAAGGTAGGGGCTCTGTATGTGTATTCGGAGTAAGTGGATTCTCGGTTCGGACTAGTTGCCCCCTCCACGTGGGCAATTAACAAGAGTCAACCTATATAAACCCCGAAGTTTCAGTTTTCAAGCCGGTTTAGGTCGACCCGGCCCCCTGCACCGCTTATTGCTTTGGCATGCTTTGGCTCTAGCTTCTGGCCCACTCAGGATCTTACAGGGTTTAGCGTTTAGGGGATCTAGTCGAGGGATTCAGGGGGATGCTGGGGCTTACCCTATAAGGCTCTAAGGACTCATACATTAAGACTTTTGGGCCCAAAGACCACACTATACAAGGCTTTTGGACTATTTTGAGCCTTAGGGTTAGGGTGTAACCTCCAGACCCAAACACCTTAAATCCCATTATGACTACTTCCTTTAGCTTCGTTTCACCTGTCAGACTCCGAACCATATGCCTCGCCTGGATTGTCCGAGTGTGAGCGCTTAAATGGGAGTTTCCGAAAATAGGCAATAGGGGACCCTAATATAGCACCCTAAATAGTAGGATCCTGATTATAAGGACCCCAAAATAAGGTATCCCTAAGCTAATTTTCGGAAACTCCCAAATCCCAACATGAGAACTGCGACGCTTCCTAAACTTTCCAGACGCAGGCCGGAGCTTTTGGAGGAGAGGGCCGCGAAGGCCCCAGGATACTGGTACCCAGAGAGCCCAATACCCCTTAATTCGGGAATTTAGCTTAAATCATAATATGAATCCCCTTATAATCTAAGGTATATTCCTTAATTAAGAGGGATATTGGGCTCTCTGGGTACAGGCTTTGGATTAGTCTGAGGGTTTAGGGTTTAGGGCCTTTAGTCAGCTGTCCTGGTGTTAAGTCTCGTGTGAGACTTTTGAATGTTGAAGGTTTGGGGCCCGAGGGTTTCTTCTTCGGTTTAGGGTTTAGGGTTTAGGGTATGAGGCTCATCGCTCCGGAAAAGAGTTTAGAGGCCATGGATGTTTTCGCAGCCGCCGGGTTTAGTTGCATGATGGTGGTTGTCAATATTAGGGTCCCCTTTTGGGTCCTTATTAAAATACGGCACCTAATATTTAGGGTACCCAGAAAAGGACCATAATTTTGACAACCACCCATGAGCAGGCTGTGTCTTTCGAGGGTTTGGCCTCAACTCCAAGCATCCCTAAGCCCGACTCCAGCCCCAGCGCCCGGAACCCTCCTATTCCTTTCCTGGGTGGTTGTCAAAATTATCGTCCCTCTTGGGTACCCTAATTAGCCGCCGTACTACAATAAGGACCCAAAAAGGGACCCTAATTTTGACAACCACCCCAGGACAGCTATCAGAATGCTTGCTGCAATATCGAGAAGGAACCACGAGAGCAGCACTTCATTTCCGGTTTCTAGAACCAGCTGTCATGCCTCTTGAAGCGGCGAAGCACACAAGACTTACCTTTGGTTAGTAGGGAATGGAGGAATGGGGTACAAGTATAACTACTATTTCTACCCTTCTTCCATTCCCTACTCACCAAAGGTAATAAGAAGCAGGTGCGTGCCGGCCGCTCCCACGTGGTTTTGCTGCGGCCGGATGGCAGTGCGGCAGCTTACGGGACAGTTACGGGACGCAAACGGCCTTGTTTGCGCCCACGCGCACTCTCTGTCTAGTCTGTTTGCCGCAGGCCCTAAGTGCTGAAATCCCGAAGCAGAAATCCCTGCACTGGTACGTATGTGTATATGTTCTGTGCGAATTATGTACTGTATTGATGTATGTAAGTATGTATCTATAAACATATACATATATATATATATATATATATATTTATAATATACACACGTAATACATATAATGCATATATCATGTTTTTTGAGTTTTGAAGGAGCAATGGCCTCGGCCAGTGCAATCTTCCGGCCCTCGAGGAGGGAATCTACGTGGATGCCGCGGTGGGCTGCCAAGTTGTGCGGTCGGGGCTGCGACGGCCGTTCAGGGTTCAGGGTTTAGGAACCCTAAACCCTACACCCTAGGGGTAATAAAGTGCACACAAAAACTGCAGACGAGGCATGCAACTCTGCAGACTTAATTCAACAAGTGTTGAGCAGACACTGTCAAGAATGCGATGGACAGACGCTTATTCTCGGCATTTTGCTGTTTCTTTGAGGGAGTCTTGCATGTACGTGACGGCTATGTCTACGCGAAGTGTAGCTGACTTGTCGAGCACGAGTGACAAAAACTTCGTAGCTGGAGAAGACTACTGCCTGACTTGGACATATTCGTGAAGCTTGTGTCTTTGGCTTTCTGACGGGATAGCTTAGCCTTCTGGTCAAAGAGCCGTGTAAAAGAAGTAAATTAGCTGCGGCTTGAACAACGAACCGTGGCTGTAGTCAACTGTTCCAACCAAGACACCCTGCAATGCGGGCTTCGTCCTTGCTAGGTAGGAGGGAAAAAGGGGTGTGGTTTATGAGTGTGGGCTCCAGGGTTAAAGGGTTTAGGGAAGCGCGAATAACAGTCTTTGCCGGTAGAGTCGCTGCAGACCGGATGCAATAAGGGTTTAGGGTATGTACAAGTCTGGGCAAAACATGTTAAAGGTTGAGTGCGAACTTTTTGCGAGGAGTGTGCGTGTAAACTTTGCCAAGGAGTGCTTTCCACTTGCTGAGCTTATCTGTTCGCTTACAGCGAGAAGCAAAGGTTCAGCATTGCAACGACCGTGAGGACAACAAAAGCCACAGCAGCAACAAGCACAATTATTCAAGAATACAGGGTGCAACATTCTAATTCCATGTTGGTTTTGCAACCGTATCTTCAGGTAAGTTTCACTTGGTTCATACACTTACAACCTTATTCGTAGCATATACACGATCCAGAGGATGCGGGCCCTCTGTAAAAGCACCAGCATCACGAACCCAGAGAGCCCAAAACCCCTTAATTAAGGAATATACCTTAAATGATAAGGGGATTCATATTATGATTTAGGCTATATTCCTTAATTAAGGGGTATTGGGCTCTCTGGGAAGTCTCGACCGGCAGGCGGGCGGCTACCACACGGTGCTCCTGACCAGTCGGGGCGAAGCGTTGGCTGTGGGCAGCAATGCTTTCGGATGCTTGGTTTTTGATCATCCAGAAAATCCCTAGGGATGTGAGGACTCATATATCGAGGCTTTTGGGCCCAAAGGACATGCTATATAAGGCTTTCGGGCTATTTTGTTCCCAAGGGAATTGTGGTGGGGTTGAGCGTTGTATCAATTCAGGCGTGGGAGAGTTCGAGGAGGCTCTGAAATCTGGGTTGGGTCAGCCTTTCCCCTGGCGCGGTTCAGTTCCCTTCACAAAAGCCGAGTTTGAGGGTTTCCGAAAATAGGGGACCCTAATATAGTACCCTACAGGGTAGGATCCTCATTCTCCGGACCCCAAAATAAGGCACCCCAATTTTCCGAAACTCCGATTTGGACCCTGCCCAAATGAGAAGTTGAACCGTAACCCCTAACTCCGAAACCCCGAAACGTTTTGAATCAGGACTTTTGCGGTTTCTTACGCCAACCGCGCCTACGAAAGCAGTTTGTGGTTCAGGCTTCTTAGTCTCTATGAACCCTAAACCCTAAACCTTAAACCCTGATGGGTCCCAAAACCCTAAAACTTGCAGCCCTCACCCAGGGCAGTGCGACATTCCAAAGCTGGAGGGCGCCCTGACCTACACCAGCGTGGCGGCAGGTCTAATTGGGTGGGCCAGGGCTGCTCATCACAGGTTCGGGTTTTGGGTTCCTTCTCCCGAGATACACGATCATGTTTGCGGCCGAAGTTGAAAAGCCCATCTCCAAATTGGAAGATGTGTAAGGCAGTGTAGGGTGGCCTGCTGGAGGGAAGCTAGATGATCTTGAAAAATCGACATCTCGGAGTCTCGGATTGTCAGCTTTAGGGTAGCGTCTCGACTGCAAGCCCAACTATGCGGTTTAGGGTTTAGGGTTAGGCTTGGTGCCCCCCATGGGAACTTGGACTCTTGCACTTGAAGCTGCTTCCTTGGCACTTCTGAGCTAGCCTATGGGCTGGGTTTTCCGAAACGATGCACATCCCCGAACCCTAAGACTCGAAAGGTTGAATAATGAAACAATTACCCATAGTCTCCATTGAAGCTGCTTTTTTGGTGAACCAGGTTTATGCATGGGATCCGATAATAGGGATTTTGGGTAACCAAAAAAAGGAATTACAATGGAGACCATAGGTAGTTCAAACTTTCCAGGCCTAGACGACTGTAGAGCCCCGAGTCTCGGTGCAGGCCAGAAGGTGACTCTGCTGGTTCGCAGTGATGGGTGCATTGTGTCATGTGGCCGGCAACTTGGTAACATTTACTACTGCTGCTACAACTACTACTACTACTACTGCTACTACTACTACTGCTACTGCTACTGCTACTGCTGCTGCTACTGCTACTGCTACTACTACTACTACTACTACTACTACTACTACTACTACTACTACTAGTGCTAGGTGGGTGACAAAAACTAGGTGACAGCGCCTGTACGCGCCTATGCATTTTTTGCGATTTCAGAATGAGGCGTTTTGCATGGATGCGCGCGAAACCACAGCGAGAGCGCAATCTCACAGAAAATTATGGTTCAGGCAGGTGCGCGAAACACTAGAGGCTGGAGTAAACTTTGGGCCTAACTGCGTTTTCGCTCGGGTCTTAAGCTCATTTTTGAAGAGGCTGCAGAACAAAACTTTATTTGAGAGAGAGTTTTTGCTTCAAGTATTGACTTGTCCTAGGTCTTAGGTTAGACTTAGGGTTAAGGATTGGGTTTATGTTTGGTTGTACAAAGAGGCGAAAACGCTGCAAATACCGGTGTTTTGTGCATGGGCGCAATATGAATGACGTTCTTATCCCCCCCCCCCCCTCCCCATTCCCCCCCACCCCCTCCCCCCACCCCAATACCCTGAAACCTGCAACAACGCATAGGCGCGTACAGGCGCCGTCACCAAAAACTACTACTACTACTACTACTACTACTACTACTACTACTACTACTACTACTACTACTACTACTACCTCTACTACTACTACTACTACTACCACTACCACTACCACTACCACTACCACTACTACTACTACTACTACTACTACTACTACTACTACTACTACTACTACTACTACTACTACTACTACTACTACTACTACTACTACTACTACCTATACCACTACTACCTACTACTCCTACTACGACCACGACTGCGACTACTACGACGACTGACGAAGAACGACTGCGACCGCGACTACCGCGACTACTACGACTACGACGGAATAACGACCACGACCACGACGACCGCGACTACTACTGCCCAGCCGTCCTCCTTGCGTGCCTGCTCTATTACTCCGGCTGCTGCCATCCAGGAGTACCTCCAGGCACAGGAGTAGGAGGAGGTCTGAGGCAAACTCAGATCGATGCATGTCAACTCTTGAAGTGAGAGCTCAGCCGAGGTATGGTGATGAGCAGCGTCTCGGCAGAATGTGATAGAATAGGCTACAATCCAAGAAGAGACCTGCAAGACATTGATGAAGTGATAGCAAGCTGCAGGTGCCTTGAGGCAGCGCAAATTGACACTTGCAAATGAATCGTCGGAGCTTTTTTCTCGATATTTCGGCCGCCATGCTAGCCAAACTTGAAAACCCGACAAGCCTTATAATCCGTAAAGCCTTATAAACCCTAAGTTCCGCTTAATTACATCCCCAACCCCTACGAAGCCTAAGCCGTGAGGTACGATCTCCCGGCACTGCCACCTGGTCTCTCCTACACCCGGGCGGCCGCGACTGGGCAAGCAAAGCTGGGGCTCGAAAGAATCGCGTAGTGTCAGTATCCGTGCCAGTTTTGCCATAGTGTAGTACAGTACAGTATAGCCATTCATAAAACTTCATGGGTTACAACCGCTGTTGTTTGAGTTATTGCTACCGTGACTGGGCCAAAGTGACTGTATGTCACATGTCCCCAGAATTCCAAAGCCAAATCTCGACCTGTAAAACATGGTGCACAGCCCAGCTTCGCTGCCAGCTCCCAGAGGCTCCAATATCCCTTAATTAAGGAATACCTAGGGTTAGGGTTCCTTTTAAGGGGTTTAGAAAGGGATCTAGAGGGTTTAGGGTTTAGGGGATTCCAATATCCCTTGATTCAGGAATATACCTTAAATCATAGTAGGGATCCTACTATAAATTAAGGAATATTCCCTAAGCTAAGGGATATTGGAGTCTCTGGGCACAGTGCTTTGAGCGGTAATGTCCAATGACTCCGACTCACGGCCCCAAGCCCTACATGCCCGAGCAGCCGTTGTTTCAGACAACCGCACAGTCTTGCAAGCCCAACAAGGGCCTTAGAGGGTACTGTACATAGATGCCCCCCCCCCCCCCCCTCGTTAAATCGCCTCCAGGCCTCAAAACTTCAAAGCCTAAGGCCAAAACCCTTTCCCCAAGGGTCCAGGTACCTAATAGCCATATAAACTCCCCAAAATCCGAACCTACACAACTAGTATCCTAGAACCGAGTACCTAAGACCTAAGTATTGGGTCCTTTGGACCCTTGGGCTTTCCTCGAGCCGGAGCTGTGAGAGCTTCACGTTCTGGGCGCTTCGAGGCTGGCACCTTCCACGCTGCTCTACTCAGGTGAAATTCTGGGCGCTGTGGTGGGTTTGAGGTTTAAGGTGTGGCGGTTTAGGGTTTGAGGTTTGGGGTTTAGGGGTTGTGGGGGGGGTTTAGTGGTGTAGGGTCTTTGGTGTGTAAGGCTGTCCTCGCTGTGGGGTACTGTGGAATTGCCTGGTGCTTACCTTTGGCTAGTAGGGAATGGAGGAATGGGGTACAATTATAACTACTATTACTACCATTCTTCCTTTCCGTACTCACCAAAGGTAAGGGTGGGGGTCTCTAGGTGTTGAAGCAAGTTGGCACGGCAGAGGCAGCCAAGGAAGAGGAGATTAGCATCCGCTACCGTGAACTTTTTTCTTTACGGTGCTGTGTGGTGTGGCCTTGATGATCTTGTGGAAGTCTGGTGGATGTGGGTCGGTTTCGTCGCCCGCCAGAAGTAGGACCTCTACTTGGAGGATCATGGGACTTAGTAAGCAAGGTTATAAGTACCTTATAATTGGGGCTATAAGTAGTTATAAGTATAGTTACCCTAATTATATCCCTATAGTTACTAAGTCCCATGATCCTTTAAGTATGTCCACCATGTCAGCAGCTCAGCGGAAGGAGCGATGGCTGCGCCATTCACGTTCCGACCGGCGATATGCTCATCTTGAGCCTTCTCCCGCAGTAAAGGCTCCCAGGTCCCGGCTTTTCCATCGGTGTCCTCGGGAGTTGAGTTTCGAATCATCTGCGCATCAAGAATAGCAGTAATGGAACAAGAAGCATAATAGTGATAACCATGATTCAAAATACTCCTAATGTGATTCGCAAAATTAACCTGTCATGTTAACAAAAGAAGACCGTAATAACAACCATAATCATCATTGAGTAAAAACAAGAACAACCATAACAATATCAATAATCATATATTGATTCATGCTAGTATGCCGCCTGGTATTCTAGCCTGCGATTTCGTGCCCTTGCATTGCGAGCCTCTTGACGATGGCACGGCAGAGAGAGAGAGAGAGAGAGATTCATGGTACGGCTGATGATATAAATCCTGCGTTACCCATACTAAGGAATATGCCATAATTCCCATAGTTTCGGCTCCTTAAGGTAGTGCAGGATTTAATATCATCAACAGTAGTATAGTGTTAATAATGGTGGCGACCCTAAACCCTAAACCCTAAACCGTCCAGGAAGCAGTGGTCCGAAGCTTCCGGAGACGGCGTGCCAAAGAAGTACGTGCCAAATGCGGTCGGTGCCCCAGGGGAGGAGGCAATGCTCCTGGTCATCCCGGCCCCTTACCGTTTCAGAAAGTGGTCTAGGTTCATAGGGTTTAGGGTCTAGGGTTCCTGATTATAAATATAGTACAACGGGCGCCAAGACACAATTTTCATGATTCAGTCCCCTACATTAAACTCCTCGATTCCCTAGTACCCCTGTGCCCTTTTGTTTAGGGTCCCCTTTATCAAAGCTGAACATTCGGAAAAAAAGGCTACTCTCACTATTAAAAGCACACAGGTTAAGCGAGTTCGTACCCTAAACTCCTAAACTTGTAAATCCCAAACCCTTAAACACTAAGCTCCTAAACCCCAAACCCTTGAAGAGCTTAAACTCTTAAACCCTAAACCCTGAAAGCCTAAACTCTTAAACCCTAAACTCCTAAACCCTAAACCCCTACACCCTTAAAGCCCAAGCTCCTAAACCCCAAACCCCTCATAGTACCCTGTACTCGAGGCCTTCCTGCCCATCAGTGGGCGGATCTGCCAACTCGATCTCCGACCGAACGGAGACAAAATCCGAGTTCAGCCGCCCGGTTGGAGTCGTGGAGTGCGGGGTTTCGGGTCTAACATAGGGGCTTTTTTTTTTTCATTATGACCTGTACTATTTTGGGGGCTCCGTATGTTTATCATGGTATAAGGGGCACCAACACCTTATTCCCTATTAGAGGGTTGTTCGTTTTGGGGGTTTTAAGGCTCCGCAGCCCCCTTTAAAGCAAAAGGGATCTCGGGTTAGGGGATTCATGAGTTTAGGGTGGGGACGCTCTGCTGGAAAAAGTAGATCCCTTAATGGAGGTTCCGATAAAGTACCCTTAGTAGTATAGGGCACCAAATTAGGGGATCTACCTTAGAAGCTGCCCCCACCCTGTAATAGTGGTATAACAGGAAGATAATAGGGCCCTAATATAATCCTTATAGTCACTATTACAGGGTGGGGGCCCCTTCTAAGGGATCTCCAGAAAGTTGGAATATGGATTCAGGGTAGGATACCTTGTAATTTACCATAAAGGGTTTAGGATAATCATATTCCAACTTTCTGGCTTTTACTTTAAGGGATCTACCATAACAGCACCCTGCACATCAGATGAAGGAGCCCTGATGGCCTGCGCAGGCCAAGCCTACTTGGAGGGTCGGGGGACTTAGTAAGTAGGTCGTAAGTAGACTTATAAGACCCTAAAAGGGACCCTAATTGGGGTTATGGCACTTATAAGTCCCTAAATTACCAGTTACTAAGTCGCCCGACCCTCCAAGTAGCGGTCCCCCCAGACTCCAATATCTCTTAAGTAAGGAATACCTAGGGTTAGGGTTCCTTCTAAGGGGTCTATAAGGGATCTAGAGGGTTTAGGGTTTAGGGGATTTCAAGATCCCTTAATTCAGGAATATACCTTAAATCATGTTAGGGATCCTATTATAACTTAAGGTATATTCCTTAGGTAAGGGATATTGGAGTTTCTGGGTCCTAAGGTTGATGAGCGTTTCGGGAGATCCCATCAGAGAGCTGGACGTCGAGGCCGGGAAGCCGGGAAGCAGTGGCGTGGGTAATGTAGGAACCTGATTAAGAACATCTGGGGCATTTTTTAGGGTCCCTTTAAAGGGATCTATAAGGGTAACTATAAGGGATCTATAAGTATACTAGAATGATGTAGGAACCTGTTTAAGAAACCCTGGCCCTGTAGCCCCAAAATAGCAGGGCCCACATTAAGAACCCTAACAAAAAAACCAAGGTTTCTTCATCGGGTTCTAGGTGAAAGGTCTCGAGCTTTGGTACACAGGCCTTTAGAGGGGAGGAGAGTTGATAACACTGAATTGTTTAGGGTGCTGCTCATGTTGTGGCTCGAGGTTTCATGGGGTTGAAAAAACATGACGATGGCAGAGTTTCGAAGGCATTTCTGGTGCCATGAGTGTGTAGAGTGAGGCGTCTAGGCCTGCCGTGGAAATTATTCGATTCGTGGCATTGAGGCTGAAGAGGGCCCGGCTTTCGTTTGGAGGCAAACAACTGATTTGGGTTTGCGGGCCCGCAAAATTAACCTTAGTAGCTGAGTAGGTAATCTTTAACCTTGTGGGGTCCCTAACCCATAAACCCTAAAGTCTGCTCGTAGATTGGGGGCTTTGCACCACAGGTACAAATATACTGGTAGCTACACGCCCAGCGGTACACCGCTTTCTGGACCTCGGCGAACGGAAAAGGGACGTCTGAAAGAACAACCTTAAACCCTACCATAATTTACCATCGTAGAAAATGGCCGCCTTTCTTTGGGCTGGGGTACTCAGTTTCTAAGTTGAGCCATGCAGGCTCCTCGTGGGGTGCAGGGCCTTCACGGTAGAGGGCTAATGCCGAACTCTCCTTTCCTAAACGCCGAGACGAAGAAACGGTGTTCGCTTAATCCTAAAATCAGAGGAAGGTTCCGGTGGAGACCGGTTGGCTTTATAGGGGCCTTCATAACTACCACTATTATTGTGGGGGGTTCCTCGCGGTATCGCTTTGTTGACCGAAGCTTCAAACAGATAGCGTCACACGTTTCCGATGGTTTCCCTGGCCCACACCGTGAGAGTAAAACACCTTCCAAATGTTGGGATGAAGCATGCAAGCAGCAGGCCCCGTTCCTCAACAATCTGGGCAACCCAAACCATGCGAAGTCCCAAGGAGCAGGTGCAGGACACGACTCGTCTTCTTTTGCGGTCACAGGAGTAGTGTCTTCAGTGGACGAGCGCGCTCTCGCCAGTACTTGAAAGCAACTTCTGGATCTCTTGTGCTAGGGCCACAACTTCTTCGAATCCTTTGTTGTCCAGGCTGCAAGCACAGGATACGTGAAATTGACCCTTCTTGTGAACCCACAAGCGAGACCAGGGCCCCACGAACTTTTGCGAACTTCTCGCAGGACAACAGCACGTGGGCCAACGGACCCCGAACAGTCCTTCCGCAAGCAATGCAGGAAGCCACCCGCGCCCGAGAAAAATAAGCCTTCAAGTGCCCCAACGGAAAGAGGTTTAACCTGAGACGGCACAAGGCTCTGCTGGCAAGCAGACTGTTCCATGATGAAGGTTGCTTCACAATCGAAGTGAGCATGCTGGACGGGGTCAATTCCGGGTAAATGATACGCCAAGACAAAAAACAAGAAGACGACTCAACCAAACTCTGCCAATTGGCTAAGCACTTACCCGCAAGCGTCTGCTTTACATACCGCTTATACTCTGGGATCCCAAGGCTCATGTCGCCGTCAGAATACTGGGCAAGACCCCAGTCATGGAGTAATTGAAGACTTCTCGTGCTCCAGCAGGCTGCCCTCGATAGTGCGGTCGTTTCAAATTCCCCACCTGAGTCGCATGATCAATGGCTCGGCAAGGCCCCAGGAGGATCATAGGACTTAGTAGGGTTCCTGAAAGGGCTCCTTTAAGGGATCCTTTAGGGTTTAGGGATGTAAAAAAGGGAAAGTAGATCCCCTAATTTGGGGCCCTATGCTACTAAGGGTACTTTATAGGAACCCCCAGCAAGGGATGTACTTTTTGGATCCTCCCAAGAGGGGGCTCAGCAAGGCCAGCTGCACAATGCGTGCGCTGCAAGCCTCCGTAGACCTGCAGTTGATCCTCTTGGCAGCATTCTGGGAGGATTTCTACACATGTCTTTCAGCAGTTCAGTGTTGTGCGGGTCAGCAAATTGCTTTGACAGAAGTTGCAGGTTTTGGTGCGCGGGCTTGTGGCATGGGTCTCTGGCTATTCGGAATGAAACCTTAAGGTATCGGAAGGCTTGTGTGTTCTGGTTGCCGGTGACAGTGGCTTAAAAGTTCAGTCTTTCGGGTGTTTGTTTTAGGGTTTAGGATTTAGGATTCCCGGCCGGTAGAGTAAGCAGGATTCGTAGAGTGCGAGTGACAGAAAAGCAGAGGGAAGGCCTGTCGCGAGACTGCCAGCCATGTAAGTTGGCAGTTTCAGATCCGCTATGCATGCACACCTAGCTCCATTCCAGCATCTCTAAACTTAGGTAACTGGCCCCTGAACCATGAAATAACCCTAAATCCTAAACCCCATTCTACGTTCCGGCCTTCCGCCGCTTGTCGGGTGCTGGCTCAGGAACGAGGCCTGCCAGCTGATCCTGCCCGGGGGCCGGTCGGTGCAGCAGGTTTCTCAGCTTCCGCCACGAATTGAAAAGCGGTTTAGTCTAAATAAAATACCTCAATTCAAGCCCGAAGACAGAAGTTTCCCCGGAAAAAACCGCTGGAACAGGGAGAAAAAGACAACATACCTCAATGGTGCATTCGTTAACCACTGACTTTTGAGCGCTGACTTGGAGGACCAAACGCCGTAGAAAAACCCGGGAACTCCAAAACGTTATGTTCCTAACTCCATGAGTCAGCCTGCTCTAGGGGCCTTAATAAATGCCTATATTATTGTGGGGGTTCCTAATTAGAATCATGGTATAATACACCCCAAAACCCTATTCTAATTATCAAGGCCCCTATGTTGAACCTCCAGAATACCCCTTATCGTAATTTTAATAGGACTAGGACCCTTTTGAAGAACCCTTTAAAGGAACCCTATTCTAATTTTTAAGGCCCCTGCATTACGCTTTCAAGCCAACTTCAGACTGAAGGGAAGCTTCGCGACAAAAAAGGCCGAAAGGAGGAAGCGGTGAAGGGGAGTTTACTTACCTTTGGTTAGTAGGGAATGGAAGAATGGTAGTAAAAGCAGTTATAATTGTACCCCATGCCTCCATTCCCTACTAACCAAATTTAATGTGAGTTTCAGGAAGGCTCGAAGCAGGGCGTCCGAAATGATAGACAAACTCGGAGAATCGACAGCTTCTCAAGAAAAATACGATCCAACAAGGCTCCCCCAGTCTAGAGGGGTTTTAGGGTGTTGGGTTTTGGGTTTCGGGTTTAGGGTTGAGTCTAGAGTTGCCCTCATGTTTCGTGCAGGCCCCGCACGTCACGGTCCGGGAGGCGATGGTGGAGCTCGGTGTGGAAGCCACGCAGGGCTACCGCTGAAAGAGTGGTGGCATAAGGCCCAAGCAACCCGTGAAATCGAGGACCCTGCATTTCGCCACGTGGATTTCAGAAAAACTGAACTACTTGTGAAGCTGTGAGATCCGCGTGTTTACGGTGTCTGTGGGCCCCTTGGTTGCTGCATTGGGTGAGAGCTGATGTTCTCTCGCCACTCGGCTTTACGATTGTCAGAAGCCAGCGGGTGTTTTCTTGAAGAGGAGCTCAGGCAGGGCAGACATGAATAAATTCTGCCTAATCGTTTGCTTGCTCTGGCGCTGCTTCTCAAGACAAGTTCCGTGATTGTACAGTCTTCACACAATGATGGCTGGGGGGACTGAGACAACGAACCAGCTTCAGATGTGGCAGGGTCTGTCTTCAACAGAGGTCGAGATTTTGTCTGGGAGATTAGCCTGGATTCACCTTCGTCTCCCTGGCACGTGCGCGACATGATACAGAAGCCGGCGCTATCGTTTCTGTACAGCAATCTCGTCACTTCAGGTCGAGGTCCTAGGAGCGACGTGAAAAGATCGACGGTCGGAAGTTTCAAGCCGCTGGGTTTTGGTTCGATTGGGGGGTTTCAGTCTGTGTGCTTTGAGCCGGCTATGGTAATTGTCGTCTTCAGTAATCGGCATGGGAGTTCAGCTGCAACGCAACAGTCAGAGGTTGTAGAGTTAGAGGTTGAACATACACTTACGGGTTGGCACAGGTATCAGTGGAGCTTTTATCCTCTTTCAAGTACCCAGCTCTTCGCGGACTTTGTGCCAAGCACGTCCAACGTTGCGGTTGAAGGATTGAGCCCCAACCACTAAACCCTAAACCTACGACTGTTGACTAAACGTGCTGGTGCGTGCACTGACCGCTCCTCTTAGTGAAGTCTCACTTAGAATGACTCCGAACCTATATGCCTCGCCTGGATTGTCCGAGTGTGAGCGCCGAAACCGTAGGTTTGTAGGCCTTGCGTCCGAGAAAGGTATGGGATCGTTTCAGGATGGAAGTTTAGGATATGGGTTTCTGCTTTGAACTGTCAGCTTTCCGGACTAGGGCATCTGCGGAGGTGTTTCATTTAGGTCGCAGATTTCCTGGCCAGTTGAAACTGAAGTACTGAGGAGTGGAGAGTTATGCTTCCCCTGAGCCCTGAACCCTGCAACCTTGGAGTCCTAGCCAGCAAAGACAAAACCAACCATTCTGCAGCATGGAATCATTCATATGGAGTTTCCGAAAACTAGTAACTCGGGGTGCCTTATTTGATTTGGGGTCCTTATAGTCAGGATCCTACTATTTAAGGTGCCATAGTAGGGTACCCCATTTTCGGAAACTCCCACATGGGAGTTCCGAAGCGCCGAAACCCTTATTCTATATTCCCTTTACTTCACCTCTTACCGGCGGCTGGAGAAAACAGAGCTGTACTGAATGATAAACCGTGAAAGGCAAGGGACTTTAAAGCCCGAAGGGCGGGAGTCCGATCCAAACATAGACGCGCTAAACCAGGCCTTCAACCCTAAAGCGCTACACACAACTGGTGATACGTGCCAGATGTAAGTTAACGGAGGACCAGGATCGCTATAGACCTTGCCAGGCTTTGTCCGAGTGTGAGTGTCAAAAAAAACCGCTAAACTAGGCCTTCATAGGCTCGTTGGGTTTCAGGGCCCCTTAATGGTCTCCATTGTAGTTCCATCTTTTTGTTAACCAGTTTTATGCTTGGGAACCCAAAAAAGGAACTACAATGGAGACCATAGGTAGAGTGTTAAAACTCTTGACCCTAAAAACCCTAAACCGTTCGAAAAAAGCCCTGCCTGCCTTGTGCGAGTCTGCGCGTCGAAACCCTAAACCCAAGGGTTTAGGGTCTAGGGTTTAGGGGTTTAGGGGTTTAGGGGTTTAGGGTTTAGGGGTTTAGGGTTTAGGGTCCAAGGCCATGAAGAGCTGTCCCACCTCGACTGCGCTCCTCAGCTCGATGTGATCTTCAGCAGCTTCTTGGGGTTTAGGGCTCCGTAGTAGACTAGGTAGGGCTTTGGGACATTTTATATTTTCCCTTATTGGGCTTAAGAGGATCTTTTATTTACTAATATTTTTCAAAGGCTTTAAAAGCCCCACCTAGTAGAGTAGGGTAACCTTAAACCTTTTTTTGTGGTACTATAGTCCTTATATAATCCAAAAGCTTGACATTCCCAGAGGCTCCATATATAGTACCATTTTGGAATTAGGTCCCGAAAGATCCATCATCCATATCATGGCTTTGGGGGCCTGATTCCATAATAGTAGTTTAGTATATGCGGAGCCTCTAGGATTGAGTTTATGGGATACTGGACAAGTAGCGTTTAGGGCATACGGTTTTGCGGTTGTTTGGGTTTCTGAATACAGGCGGTATTATAGGGGCCGTCATAATTGCCTAGATTATTTTGGGGTTTCCTTATTATAGTATAATGGGCACCACAACTCTTTCTAATGATTAAGGCCCCTAGAGCAAGTCATGCCACCTGCCGAGCCGTATACTGGGCATTCGAAACTGAGGGTCCTCCGAATGCTACAACCATTCGTGCATTCCGATTACTATTTCTAGTGCTATCATGAATATCACTACTCGTACTTTTATTGCTACTTGTATCAATACAAGTATTGCTGCTAGTAGCTAGTACTGTTGTTACCATTGCCTATTGCTATAACTTGACAAGCATTACTCGTATTTCTGTTGCCGCTGTTACAACTATTGTTATCATTACTAGCAGCACCTCTACTGACTACGCAGCTTGGCATAGTGTCCTCGGGAGTCGTAGAAGCCAGTTTCGCTCTCCACTCATCGTTCTCCACTCCTTCGCTGTTATCATTGTTCTCCCTACGTACAGTATGCTGTTTTGTCAGTATTACAAGTATTTATTTGTGTAATAAATGCCTCAACGGCAACGGAAAGTGTATACCCGAAACCCGAAATCAACAAAACGGAACATCACACAGGCTTGTGAGTGTTTTCGGGGGGTGGGTCTGCAGCATTGCGGCAATGGGTTCGATGGCTGCAAGAGCAGGATTAGGGAAGGGTCTGCAACATCAAAAACTCCATTTGCAACAGGAGGGTCTTTCCGACGAATTGAAACATAAGACTCAATGTCGAAACTCCTGGCACCACCGTGAAGCTCCATGTGGGGTTCAGACGATGAGGCTCTCTAGAATGGACCCCCACGCTTAGCTTTTAGGGAGCCATATTGATAACACACGAACCTGTGATTTTTTAGGGCGCCCGTTCCCCCCGAGCCACTCGACATTGAAAGGATCAGTTCTGGCGCCGGTGCGTGGACATCCCAACAGCCCTGGTCTCCTCCGTGGGGGGTTTCTGAGGGCCCACGTTTGTCGGGTTTCGGGCTTTCGTGTTTGAGGTAGGGCACTGAGGAATGAAAAGGCTAATGATGTCGTGGTCGCCTGTGCCGCCATCCCCATCATCCCGGCAAATCAGTACGGTAGTAGTCTCGGACATTGAGTCTTGAGCTCTTGGACCTACGTAGCTCCTGCACATCGCGAGTCACGCTCCGCGTAGACTGGCGCGGCTACATACAGCAGCCCGCAAAAAGTAGTTCGCACAAAAAATCTAACTAAAGTGTGTCAGCGTTCAAACCACAAGCCGTAGTTAGGCGCCCGCATCGACAATCGTTGTGGGCACAAGAGCTGCGGCAAGGAGATGGCAGCAGGGCGAACAAAAAACAGTCGCTTTGTGTGTGTGTGTGTGTGTGTTTGTGTTTTTGGGTTTTTGGGTTTCCAGGGTTCCCAGAAACCTTCAGCTCCAAGCCCAAGCGAGCCCGAACCGCAACCCGCTCTGCCGGCAACAGCACAACAGGCCCAAATCTCCCGGGTCTAACTAATCACACCCTGCAGCTCCAGCCGCGTTATCCCAAGTCCCCCAGCCCTTAAGCCGCAGCCTACCAGCTTCGTCATATTATGCCTTCTGCAACAGCCCCGAAACCAAAGTGATGAAACAAAGCGGGCTCTTAGCGTTACTTTCTGATGGGCGTTCTCGACTGCTCTGTCAGTAACCCTGCAGAGGGGCCCATTACAGACTGTTAGAATTCCGTGTCAATTTGGAGTGAGGGTCGAACCCTGAACCAAGGGTGCTTGTTGTGAATCAGATAGGATTGGACGCACTCCATTCTCGCTTGACAGAGTGAGTTCATTGTGCCCCTAAGACGAGAATCCCTCTACGCCCCACCTAAATCCTAAACCCTAGAGGCGCTAAGTCACCAAAGGCTCCATCACTCTAGGTGCCCAGAGACTCCAATATCCCTTAATTTCAGGAATATTCCTTAAATCATATTAGGGGTCCTACTATAAATTAAGGTATATTCCTTAACTAAGGGATATTGGAGTCTCTGGGTCTAAGGTTTCAGGATCTTTGGGTGTGTATAGGCATTCAGCATCTGGGTGGTTGTCAAAATTAGGGTCCCTTGTTGGGTCCTTATTATAATACGGCACCTAATATTTAGGGTGCCTGACAACCATCCATCTGGATGTGGTTGTCATCCAGGGAATCCCAGATGCTGCAACAACCGTGTGTTGTGGTCAAAGCCTCTCGCAGGATCTGCGCCGCCTTAAACCCTAAAGTCTTAGCCCCCTAAACCCTAAACCTTGCATGCCCGAGTGTGAGTGCTGAAACCCTAAACCCTAAGCCTTAAACCCTAAAGCTTAAACCCTAAACCTTAAACCTCAAACCCCAAACCCTAACCCTCAGCCCTAAGCCGCAAGGGAGCCGAATCCTCAACCCCTTAAGGATTCGGACCTTGGGCTCTCGTCGGACCCCGAGCCCTGAAAGCCCTCAACCCGCCCTCCACTCCTTTAAGGGATCCATAAGGGATCTATAGGGCTTAGGGTTCCTTTAAAGGGATCCATGAGGGATCTATAGGGCTTAGGGCTTTAGGGTTTGGGGTTAGGGGTTCACTGCAAGTCCGTGCTTAAAAAGGGTTAGGGGTTCCCAGAGACTCTCATATCCCTTAAAGAAAGATTATACCTTCAGTTATAGTAGGATCCCTAATATGATTTAGGGGATAGTCCTTAATTAACTTGGAGTCTTTGGGCAACCCCTGAGACGAAAAAGGACGTAACTCAAAGCAGACCTAAACCCTAAACCCTAAACCACTAAACCCTAAACCCCTAAACCCTAACCAGAAACCCCAAGCTCACACGAACCGAAGCCATGCCTGCTTTGGGCGAGCCCGAAAACCCTAACCCTAAGGACTATCCCCTAAATCATATTAGGGATCCTACTATAACTTAAAGTATAACCTCTATTTAAGGGATATTAGAACTGATACGTTTTGAGAGCCCTGAAGCCCTAACCCTTAAACCCTAAACCTGAAATCTTGTGGCCCCAACCTTAAACCCTAAATCCTTGCAGAGACGAAGAGGGCCGCTTAAAAAAAAGCCTCAGACCCTAGGGCACCGATCCCATTTAGAGGCGGCCAGTCCAGACATCGAGGAGGAGGAGGCGAATTTTGGAGATTTGGGGGGAGGTTCTTACAGGTTTAGGATTCACTGGGTTCGTGTGAGGGGACTTAATGCAAGTTACCACAAGGAAGCCAGATTATTCACCATAGATCCCTATGATGGTAACTTAAACTTTCCTAAACCCTTAAACGAGCCCTTATCTAACCTTTGATATTGGAGGAGCTAAGGAGCCAGGGATGATGATAACCCCTATTGAATAAGGAGCTAAAGAGCCCAGGGAACCCCAAAACTACTGGTTAGTTATAGATCCCTATAATGGCTAAACCAAGTGCAGCCACCCATATAGCATTTACAGGGCTCATCCTCTGCTCAAAAACCTGGTTGTGGGCCGTTTGTAAAGTTCCCTTGTCCAACATCACACAGTTAAACCCTTAACCCTAAACCCTCAAAGAATGAAACTTGGATGCAAGCAAGAACGGGGCCTTGAAACCGCCAGCAGGGTGTGGGTGTAGTGGATAGCGTTTGGGGGGTCAAGTATCGTATTATAGTACAGGCAAGGAGCCGTCAGGAATGGTTATCTGATGATTTGGGCCTCTTCATAGGGATCCTTAGGGGTGTAGGGGGAGGGGGGGTAGGGGGCCTTAAGGCCCATAATAAGGACTAATAAGGCCTATTTAAGGAAATATAGTCCCCTACACCCTCTCCCCTACACCCCTAAGGATCCCTATGGCCTCTGCCTTGTGTTCCGCATAATGTGGCCCTCGCTTGCCCATGCTCACGGCAGGAGGCCGAAATCGGCGTCAAAACTCCAACTACGCAGCTCGGCTCTCCTGCTAACTACATACATGGGTAGTTGCCAAAATTATAGTCCCTGCTAGGGTACCCTAAATATGAGGTGCCGTATTATATTAGGGACCCAAAAAGGGACCACAATTTTGACAACTACCCACATGCACGTACACAGACCTGCATGAAACGCATGAATGCGCATGAATTGACAGATAAACCGACCAAGAGTTCATTATCAACCAACCAATGACCAATGTATACAAGCTAGCTAGGTAGGCAGATAGATAGGTGGAGATGTAGATTGGTACACAGGATGTAGAATAGGTGGATGGGTAGGTAGGTAAGTAGACAAATAAGCCGGTAGATAAGTAAGTAGATAGGTAGATAGATAGATGACTAGATAGGTAGATAGATGGATAGCTAGATTTAGATGGCTGGATAGACAGATAGAGAGGTCGCTGGATAGATACGCAGACATGTAGACACATAGATAGATAGATTGACAGGTAATGATGGGTAGATGGAGTTTTTTAGATGATTTTGGTGCCTCGCAAACAGCAGAAACCTGCCTAAAGCGTCTACAGCATTTTGCACACCATCTGTACCTGGTTTTGCCTGCTGTGTCGTGTGTGGTGGCGTGTGGATTGATAGCGTGTAACGCTCCGGGCATTGAATGTTTTATGTAGGGCCATTTAGGGTTGCATAAAGTTCAGTGCTAAGATTCGCATTAGCAATTGTGTTTCCTTGAAATTTTACCATGTGCAGAAAACGTTGAATATTGGTACCAAGGTCCACGCGAACCCTCACCAGAACCCTTGGTGGAGCCCATAAGAAGCTCCATTCTGATCATGAAGGCCCCTTCAATACAGAGTTCAGGTAGAATTACACTACCAGGCGTCCTTGCAAGCAAGCCTGCAGCAAAAAGGTAGAATGTAATTGCTGTTGTATTTCGCTCGCAGTTATACGATGACATACTCCAGAGACCCTTGCTAGTTATCATTCATGGCCGCTAACTAAACCCTAAACCCTTCACACATGCCTCGCCTGGATTGATCCAGTGTGAGCGCCGAAACCATGACGGAACAGGTGGAAGAGTACCAGGAGGAGCTCAACGGCCGTTGCCCGAGAGAGCAAGCGGTGTTGGCAGGGGTGGTAGTGGTAAACCCTAAAAGCCTCCTGAACTTTTCAGGGTTTTTAAGATTTCGGGCGGTATGGTTTTTAGGATTTAGGGTTAAAGGGTTTAGGGTTTAGAAGTTTAGCTGTTCTTTATATAGCTGTTCTTTAAACCCATGCAAACCCCAGAGATTCATTGGCGGGCCAGGCCTTCAAGAACTCTGCGGCACTGACTAGGGGGTTCCTTAAGTACATACAAGGTTCCACCAAGAGTTCCTTTGAGGATTCCTTTGACAGTGTCTTAAAATCCGAAACCCAAGATCCTAAAACCCAAGCCCTAACAGGTCTGTGGTACTTAGCTCAGGAACGGCTAAACTAAACATCCGCAACAACATCACAGAAGAAGGACCACCGAGGACAGCAGCACTCCTATCGCAGTATGCCTGCACCCCGACATTCGAAGGCCCTAAAACTCCCAACTCTGCAAGCTCGCGTAAAACCGACAGCTCTGAACTCCGAAATCCATGAAGCGTCCCGGCAGCCTGCACCGACATCCTAAACCCTCAACCCCCAATCCTGGTTTGAAGACCCTCTAAGCTTCCAAAGCCCTGAGGTTTGGGACTTCAGGTTTTAGATGGGGATGAGTGGCACGGCAGACTTGAAGGTTTGCTTTAGTCGCTCATTTACTTCCCAGCAGAGGCGTTGCAGGCTGGATGCAAAAAGGTTTTAGATGGGGCTTAGGGTTTGGCCAGCAGACTCGGTGTCTACTGATTTCGAATCTTTACACACCTGGCAGAGGCACGCTACAGCCAGAAATTGCATTCCCGGAACGTTTCGCCATGCGCAGTACTGCCTTAAGCCTGAGCTGGAGCGCCGTAGCCCAAAGCCGTCCCGCCTTAAACTCTACAGTAGAAGCCAAAAAGTTGGAAACCCCATAGCCTCAATCCTTAAGAGTAATTGTATAGGAAATCCCCGCACTATTTGGCCTTAATCCGGTTTTCAACTTTATGGGGTTTACTGTAAACTGTAGGCTTCGAACCTAAATCTCAAACCGTACCAGGCAAGACTGGCGCCAACACAATCGAAGTGAATTGGCAGCCTCCGAAGAAGTCGGAGGAGGAGGAGCGTGTTGCAGCAGCGCGAATACGACCTGTCGACTTCTAGCTTCTATCCGTTGCAATTGCTATTCGTGGCGTTGGTACCGGTGTACCTATCATCTAAAAGTCTCAAGTGATAGCGTTCTTGCTATTCTCGCGAGTATCATCACTGCAATACAAAATTCAAAATTGAGCTTTCTTTGTGCTCGGTTCCTGTGGGCTGCCACAAATCCGGTTCCAGCAGGTCAAATAGCATTTGTACCGAGAGAAACCCTGGAATTAGACAGGTCGAGGAAGAACAGCAATGGCAGAACGCAGATCTTCATACGAGCAGTACAGCAGAATCTGGTAGTCAGTGTTGGCCGTAGTTGTCGCAGCAGTCCCCATGATATCGACCACATATACTGATACTTATATGTTTCATGTGTATGTATACCTGTGTATATACATAGTGTACACTGATATTATGTACATACATACACCAAAAATATCGAATCCCGATATGAAGGTGTACTCCTACTCCTACAGCTACTGCTGCTGCTGCTACTGCTACGGCTGCTACTGCTACTGTTGCCACTACTCGTGCCACTACTACTACCACCACCCCCACCGCCGCCACGACGACGACGACTACTACTACTACTACTGCTACCAGTACTACTACCACCACTGCTTGTACTTGTGGGGGAACGTACAAGCTAGGTGCTTGAGAGTTCGGCCCTTCGGCCCCTCCAGCCTCTAGCCTGCAACGCTTGTTTGTCAAATGGCTATGGTTAAGGGTTTAGGGTTTAGGGTTAATGAATGCCAGTTTGAACATCAAGCCTAGGCCGACGATCCCAGTGCCCCAACTCTTCTACAGCCATGGACTGCCCTCACTCAGTAACAGTTGGATAATATTCATAATATAGATATATAAGGCCCTTAATAGTAGCCCAATTATAGACTGTTGCTGTATGGGGCAATCTACAGCCATGGCCTGCCCTCTCCTCTTCCGATGGAGGCACAGGTGGAGCCACCCGCGAGGATGTTCCAAGGGCAATGTCCGGTTCCAGCTTTTGTCGCGTCGGCACCGATTCCACGCTGGAGGAGCTGCAGAAGCAGATGGATAAGCAGGCTATGGCGAGTGGGTCAATGCCGGCTGCCGAACGTCTCGACCTTATCGCGCCAGACCCATGTGGCATGTGGTACTGGGGCGGGTGGCTTCGGATGTAGAGAGCAGTCATGAGGTGCCTGTCAGCCACAAGGCGTGCTGCCAGTCTTGTATCGATCGGCTCTGTGTCATCTTTCTTCTGCCCCTTGGTGTAAGCCTACACGGCCGGCCGTTGTGGGTAACGACTGTGCGCAGGGTCGCGGTGCTCATGTGCATGATGCAGTGGGCAGCGTGCGTTCACACAGCGGTTGCTGGAGCTAACACCGGATGGCAAATGGGCAGCTGCTTGCTGCATGTGTCGGAAGCAACTGCGAACCTGATCCTGTTGTTGCAGATGACCTGTAGCATCAGGTTCCACGAGTTCACCGCATATATGATTGAGGCCATGCAGTGCAAAAGCATGGTACCAGCCCAACAGTCGGCCATCAAATGGCACATCTTTGCGATCCTCTCATGCCTGGTCAGCTGGATGTTTTGCCATGTCGCGAAGTTCCGACTTGTTGCCATGGGCGGCGGGCAGATGACATGGCAAGTCACCGCATTGGCTTGCCTCCAATGCCTTTATCGAGCGGCTTGGGTGTTGTGGGTTCTGCATTTAAGCGAGTTTGTCAACGAGCTCGTAGATGCCTTCTGCCTTCTGCCGCAGCTGTGCGAGTAGCCCCGAAGATGTGGATTTAGCCTGCCTTCGCTGGGCTCGTGTCTCGGCTTTCACCGGGCAGATCACACAACATTGCAGCGCAGTGTATGGAGTCATGTGCGTCACTGCGCTGATGGGTGGAGTTGCCCCCATTGCGGAACTCTTCCTGTCGTGCAGCTTGTCTTCCCAGAGCACCGGCTGGATTGTGCCGCAGCTCATAGCGACCACCATGCATTCTGGCTGATGACATACGTCTTTGGAAATGGTGAGCGAAAAGTGCAAGAAGGCAGCTTGCTTTGTGAGTTCCTTGCAGGGTTGCTTGCCTGAGCAATCGAGGGCTGCGATCAGGCTGCTGGTCGGCTACATGGAGGGCAGTGACTCTGGCATCTTCTTCGGGGGATCCAAGCTCGATCTTTCCTGGTGTTCAAGATTGCGGTACTTGATCTTCATCTTCTTGGCCGTGCGCTTCCAGACCCTGCCGGAGGCTCACAAAGCACAGCTCGCAGAACAGTGGGGCCGTTTCCTCCGTGCTTTGGCGGTGTGGGAGTGAGCCAAAAACAGGACCGGCTTGGTTCCAGGTCGACAGGCCATCGTAAAAAACTATCTGGCTGATCAAGCAGGCCAACCACTGCTGCCTGACAACAGGTCTGCCTGACGACAAGTGCTTTACTAAGTGGGGCTCTCGTGCATGCTGCTACTACGGGTGGTTGAGGTGGGCATCCAAACACTTACCATGAGCTACATGTTCAGCCTAGGGCAGGCCTAATTTGTCTGAGGTTTAGGGCCTCGGTTACAGGCTGTAGGGACTTCAAGCCTCAATGTCGGCAGCGGCAGGTGTGATTGGACAGCCTTTGCTTTTATAGGCTTCTCAGGCAAATGCCAATTCTTGCCTGACCCTCGACCCTCTTCGAAACTTTCTCACGCAACTTTATATGCACCTTCCCAGCCTGGGTGTTCTGACCGACCTTGGCCGAGCAGTACTAGCAGTGGTTGTTTTTGCTCTTGTTCTAAATGTGATGTTGCGACTTGTCACTACTAGTTTCTCAGCAGTTGGTAGACCTCAATACCACTGCCATTTGTTGTGACATCATCATCATTGTTGTTGTGTTTCCGTTCTCATTCCAAAAAGTATTTTTTCCAAATCCTGGGCATGTTCTCGCGGCCAACAGCCGCTTCAAGTCTTAGAGGCGTTTCCTAGGCTTGCCTTGGGTACGCCCCCACTCAGTAACAGCTGATTCATCTTTATAATGTAGGTATATTTGGTTACTAGGCCCTGCATAGTAGCCCTATTATAGACTGTTACTGCACGGGGGCAGTACCCAAGGTTTGCCCATGACTCCGAGCTTTTGCCGTCCTGACCGTGCACTGCGAGTTGCCGAAGTGACTGTGGAGCGAAAGAGATGTTGAGTTCCCGGCAGACGGGCACTCAATCTCCCTGTGTCTTGTGCGATAAGTATAGTAATATTAATATTAATATTAATAATAATAATGATGAAAATAATAATAGCAATACTAATAATAATAATAATAATAATAATAATAACTGGAAGCCCGCAGGAGCGCAAGGAGGCGGCAGAGCGTGACCGATCTCCCGCTGCTCGGTCGCAGCATCCGTAATTTGGCAAGGGCGGCCTATAGGGTGTACTTGGACCCCAAAAGCATGTAGAATAATAGCCTTTCAAAGGTATTGGGCCTTTATTTGTACGTGCTTTTGAGGGCTTGGGTACAGTGGGCCTAGGGTTTAGGGATGTTTGGGGTTGTTCGCTAAACGGGCTACACCACGGGTTCTACAATAATGTTGTGGGCGCATGAACTCCCAGTATTCCCCAGACATCCTTCATAATAAGATTCTACATTCTCTGCCCAAACGCGCTTCTGAATCATGATTCACACCCAAAATACAAGAGATTCGTTTTTTCAATCATCCACAGAAGGAAGCCCCAGAGGTCTTCAATTCCCTTCCAAGGCCTTCTGCCCGCGGAGCTAAGGATTCCTCCCCATGCATGGTGTAGCTGCCTTCTTCGTTGATATATTATGATTGCGATTTTTTCTACTATATATATATATAGATAGAGAGAGAGACATATGTGTATGTGTGTATGTATGCATGTATGTATGTATACATACATACTTATATGCATATATACATATGTTCGATTTCTCCTTATGTATAAGGTCTATATTATGTACATGTGTATTACACATGCATACAGCAACGTTTTGTTTACACTCACAGACCCGCCCCGACACCCAATCCCAAGTAACCCTAAACCCTAAACCCTAGAACAAGGTGAAGGGGCCCGTGGGTCGCGGGCGAGCGCCCGGAAACCCAGCGTGGGTTCGGCTTTCATCCCACAACTTGGATCATAGTGTTTGGGGCTTGGGGTCTTGGGTTTAGGGTTTAGGGTTTAGGGGGCTTTCATCAGGTGTTACGGTTTTCGGGCCTCAGCTGAAGAGCAGCGGAGGGCAGTGCTGGCAGTCATCAAGTCCGGTTTCAAAAAGGGGGCTTTCATCCCACAACTTGGATCATAGTGTTTGGGGCTTGGGGTCTTGGGTTTATAGGATTTGAAAGTACCCTTGACGTGGCAGCCGCGGGGCTGACAACCATTGGTGGTTCTTTGGACCTCTATGTAACACCTAATCCCTTCGTTCTCACCTATTGATGATCGCGGGTTCTTCATCATCCTCGCCATCACTACACCGTTGGGCACCGTGTTGTTCAAAGAGGCGCACTCGCCAGAAATGCCAGCCTTTTGGGCATGCTCGTGCCAGGCAACACCGCTTGTGACAGTGCGTCTGCTGCCAGAAATGTCAGAAACACCTTCTGCAGCATGCTGTACAAAATGGTGCAACGCGTTTGAATGCTTCACCCAGTGCGTTAATGGATAAAGCCGTTAGGGAACCGATCCCCCCAACACACACCCAACACCGAAAGGCACGGAAAGCGCCAGGGAAAATAAGGCGCGCCGACCGACTATCGAAGCCCCCTTTTGAGGCTGAGAGGTGGGACCCCCTTGTCAAGATTTCACGTATTTCCGGAACTGGCCCGGGAGGCTCCGCAAGAACAAGCAGTTGATTTTCTGTTACCAAATTCTGCTGATAAAATGTGCCCGCCATTCCGACGCTTCCCGCCAGCACAGACTCACGGAAAACCCACATGTTTCCTCATCATTCCCACCAGCACAGCTTCACAGAAAGCCCACTGCTTCTTCCGGTGCCCACCAGGACGGCCTGACAGTAAGCCCACATCAGAACCCGGCAGAAAGCTTGATCCAGAAAGGGACAGACTCCACAGAAAGCCACATGCCCTGCTGTTTGCCTTGTTACAACTCCCGCCAGCACAGCCACAGAAAGCCTAATCCAAAAAGGGACAGCATCACAGAAATGTACTGATGTTCGTCTCGCCACAACTCCCGCAGCACAGCCTCACAGAAAGCCCAGTGCTTCTTCCGACACCCGCCAGGACAGCCTTACAGAAAGTCCACATGAGAACCCGCCGTCACAGCTTCACAGAAAGCCCAACCCCGAAACGGACAAACTCACAAAAGGCAACACGCAGTGCTGCTTTCGATTTGTCGGGGCCACGTTGAAAATAACGGCCCCCGTCAGTTATGTTCTAGGAATCCCAGAAGATTTAGAGCAAAACCCTAAAATGCTTGAACTCAGGGTGGTCTTGGGGTGGGTTGCCTGCTACGCATAGGCGCGAGCGGCCTGGGTGTGCACACACCAGCGAGCACCCATGACGTCACCACAACCTCTCAGTAGTCAAGTTTCACGCCTAATCGTTAACTAATTCCGAACCATGTGCCTCGCCTGGATTGTCCGAGTGAGAGCCCCTAAACCCTAAAACCCCGAAACCCTTGGCTGCATACTTCGGGTCGAGCACTTCTGAGTATGGGGACTAATGAGGGTGTCGACTTGAGAAGCCTTGTACATGCCGTTGGAGTGCGGTGCACGTCGAGCGTGATTTGCATGCATGGCCAGTAATTTTGACCCCGCACACACATACACCTTGTTCTGAGACCCTGTGCATGCTGTCGGAGTGACGTGTATGTCTTAGATAGTTGCTTGCATGACCAGTGTACTGGAAATCGCCTAATTTCAGCTTTCTTTGCAGTGGTTTCACATTTCTGTCCTCGGTGTCGATACACGCGAGTTCGCTATACTGTACATCCTGTCTACCTTTTTCGGAGCTCCTCCTGTAGCCCGTCTTTCGTGGCCTTACCTTGTGTTGGCGCTGTTTCATGTGGGGATATAGGAGGGACTCTGCTTCTCCAATGTGTGAAGCCTTACGCACCCCCTGGTAGCACGAAGTCTATGGCCTTACCTTTTGTTTCGCTGTTTTCTACTGCTATCGGGGGGTCCTGTAGAAGTTCAGTTGCCGACCAAGAACCTCGTCTGGATTGTCCGAGTTGCGAGAGTGTAAACCCTTAAAAAGAGCCACTGCACTTAAAAAAAAAGGAACCTTAAAAACAACCCAAAGCCCCAAGCCAAGGACCACGCAACCTGCTTGGATGACCCGGGGCCCGGGCGCCTCCTCAGATCCGCCTCCACCGAGCATCCCAGAGCAGAGCGACGCTGGCCAACGAGGCCACGGTTTGGGAGTTAATCAACCAGGACCCTCCTTGTACCCTCAAATTGGGGTATATGGTCCCAAATAAGGGGCATTTAGGGTCTAATAGAGGGTAGATGGAGGGTCTAGGAAGGTAGAAGCCTGAATAATATTAGTAACAATAATAATAATAGTAATAATAATAGGAGCAATACTAATGATAATCATAATACTAATATGACTCTGTAGGGTTCATTATTATATTGAAAGTATAAAATACCCCAAAACCTTATGCTAGTAATGAAGACCCCCATAACAGGGTTCCTACCAGGGTTCTGTTCTGGAAAGGTCTACGGGTGTTTCCACAAGGGCTTCATATAGTGAGGGTTCAGAGTTGCTCTGGCCTTCCTACAGGGTTACCTTCAAGGATTTACAAAGGGTTCGGGGTCTAGCCTTTCCTGGTCCTAGT